GTCGTCGTCGTCGTCGTCGTCGTCGTCGTCGTCGTCGTCGTTCTCCCACTTTGGCCACTTTGTCAGAAAGGAATTTTTTTTCTCGTCCTGCGCGAGCGATGTTCATTAAACGACGATATTCAGCGGAAACGTCGTTAACGCCTCTCTCTCGGCTGGTTTATTAAACGAGGAAGTCGAGAGAGGAAAAAAGCTGCTATCGCCGGAAGAAGCGAATGAGCGAGCTCGCACGCGCCGTACTTACTTATGCGCGCTTCACTGATGACATTGCTGGAAGCCTAATTAGCCCGCTTTTATCCGATCGTGTCTGCAACCACAACAGCTGTTTAATTAGAAATATACCCATGCTGAAGTCGTCGGAATAAAAATGATAATACCAGTAGACTGAAAGCAAGTAATTCAATGCTGTGCTGGAGACGGTTTCTCTTCGTAGTTACGAAAAAAAAGAAGAAACGCGTGATGCAAGCGAGAGACAGAGAGGAGAGAGAGAGAGAGAGCTATTATCCCATCGAATGCACGTATGTCTGCTGCCGTCGTCGAGGCGAGATACAAATCATGTTTTACTCGTCGATCGTAGCTACAACGTATCTCTCTCCGGCAAAAGTCGTGTCTCGAAGTTTTCCGCGGGCGAAGCTTGGCGGCGTTCTTTTTAGGGGCGAGAGAGGGAGAGGCCGCGCAGCAGTGTGGGACGATTAAATACCGGCCGTTGAGGCAGCGGAAGTCGATCGACTTGGCTTTTCAAGCGAACCACTCGTAATGCGCGCATCTGCGGCTGCGATTTTTCCCCCCAATTGCTTCTTCTGCCTTCCAGGAACGGACTCTGCTCTTACGCTCGTCGTCTCGGAGGGATCGGCATCGCGAAGTACGGCCGGCGTTGCATCATCATCATCGTGCAGGAGGGGTGGGACCTTGCGCGCGATCGGCGTCGATCGTCCGTTTGCACAACTAACAAATAACGAGTTCGGCCCGCCTCTATTTGCATAACTGCCTTTGCGCCTCGCTGGACGACGAAAATCAGCGCGAGTGCCGGTCATTTCGCGGCGCGCACACCGGCCCATTTACATTTCAAATCGAACGACTTGCCGTTGGGCCTGCGAATCGCGCTCGCGCAACAATCGCTGCGGCAAGATGCGCTCGTCGGAGCCATGTCCGACGGCGCATTGGGTAATAAACCCAACCCGAGTGGCGCGCGAGGACGAGGCACGTGCGCTCGCGAGTGGAAAGTCGAGTTCGATCGCAGTCAGGGGCGGCGGGGGCTGAGGCTATTCTTTTAAGTCAATTATCGCGCGGCTAAACTCGGTGACGTCCATCGGCAAAACTGCACGGCTGGCGAGCGCGCGCTCGGCGCGAAGCGATCGAGTCTTCCGATTTCGCCTTTTACGGGCAAGCACGCTAACCTCCACTCTCCGCCGACCTCTCGATCGGCTTAGCTTTGCCTGCCGTCGGATTATCGGCTTTTTTCCTCGCGACTCGATTTGCATCACGGGCGTCGAGGAATGTCCGCGTGAGTTTTGAAATCGCGGAAAGCCGCCGTGCGCCCCGTCGATCGACCGGCCGCGGCGAAAATATACGACCGGCCGGCGGCGCGTGCTAACGAGATCATAAGCGACACTTTCGATCGAATTCAAATTGCGCAATCGGCTGGTTGAAAAAGCCAGCCCAACGAAAGAGTCGCTCGATTTGGCGAAGAGAGGTGGGCATAGGGGGTTTCGGCATGAACGAAGAGGGGCGTGCGTCGATTCTCGACGGATCGATAATGCACGAGTCGAGCGTCGATCCTCCTCTCTTGAAAGAATGGCCTGTCGCATGTACAACGGCGAAGCAAAACGCGTTCCCGGCAAAGGAAACACGTTAAAAGCCACACACGCGCACGCACACGCACTTGTTCCCGTTGGCGCGCAGCGACTCTTGAGAGCGACAGAATACAGCCCATTAGGTCGAAACCTCAAAGCCACTCTCTTCTGCGCGCGACGAGTCGAAAAGGTTTTCGAGTCAGCGGACTCTCCGTGCTCTCTCTCTCTCTCTCTCTCTCTCTCACGCCCCATCTGCGCGACTACAGTGTCACGGCGAGCGAGAGCTGGCCGTATGGGCGCCGCCACCGCCGCATTCCTCGAAGAGCGCCGATTCTCAAGACAAGGCGAGCCAGAGTTTTCGGCTACGCCCACGCCGGTGCGCGCGTGCATGTGTTTCTCTTCTCCGAAGCAGACTCACGGAAGAAAAAGGCCCCTTTAAACAGCATTTAGGCTACCGTCTGGAAAATTGGAAAAACACACACGAAGCTGCGAGCGAGTCTGGGGGAGCCGTTGCCGCCGTCGAGTGCCGCGCGCCAACTTTTAATTAAGTCCCGAACGCCGACGAGCATTCCACTCGCAGTCGTCTACAGCGCCGTTATTGCATTATTTCATTGAACCGCTCTATAGCCCGAGAGCTGCTATACGTGCTCCCTTCGGCGACTCTTGTGACTTGGGTCGTTAAACTCGACCTCGTGTGTATGTATATGCTTCGAAAAAAAAAACAACAACAAAACCACCCCGTAGAACCCAAACTTTCACAACGCACGCGGGACTACGAGATACAATTTCGCTCGTTGACAACTCTCTCGCTATATAGGTAAAAAACGAAAAAAAAATAAAAATAAAAAAAACGAGCCCCGGGCCGTGCCTAACAATGAAGCGAGAATGTATGTACCTAATGATGAACGACGATACAGCTGTGTACACCGATAACAACTAACGGTCGTTATCAATTTCGAAATTCTTCTTCGAGGCTCGCCCACCTTCGATTAATAACAATAAAGATACCCACGAAGAAGCCTCCCCCCCCCATCTTTTTCCTCATTTGACTGTAGCCATAGAAGAGGAAGAAATTAATGTGCCGTAGTCACGACTCGCCACTGCGCGCGGCTTCCAATAAATACGCTTCGCGAGTTACGCGGACAAATGAGTGTTTTGAGTAATGACATCGTCCTTTTTTCCGTCACACGCACGACGAAATCCGACGGTGTAAATATTGAAGCGCGAGCGCGCGTACGCACGCATACGCGATTTTATCGATCTTCGGCCGTTCAACGAAAGGTTTCCAAGCATTATCTTTGAACGCGCAATTATTAGATCGGGCGCCGATAAAATAGCTCCTCGGTCGAGAGACGAGTATATGTGACACGCGAGCTTCTTAATCCATGACGTAAACAACGCTGGCATCAGACGCACACAGAAACAAATATTTGGAGGAACAGCTGACAGGTCGGTAAGCACATAAAAAACGAATAGGCTAAGACATTCTCAAAGATGCTCTGGCTATAGTACTTTATCTTCGAGCTTATACGATCGCATCAAACGCGCATATACACAAAGCAAGCGCGCGCGCAGCCGCGCGAGAGCGAACTGCATTAACATTCGTGCATCGTGATAGACATATGTGACAAACCTGTCGTCCTGAAGCCGCTTGAGGTCGGCCATCTCGAGCTCGAACTTGAATTTGGACAGATCGCAGAGGAGAGCATCGCGCTCCTGAATGACCTCGGCGAGCTCGCGCTGAAGCCGCTCGATCTCGGCGTATTGCCGGCTGATCAGCTGGTTCTTTTCCTCGAGCATCGCGTCCAAGTCCCTCGGCTCGCCGGTGCCGACGCTTTGCTGCTGTTGCTGCTGCTGCAGAAGCGCACTCATCTTTTGCCTTCGACGACTCTTACGAATTCCACACACTACCCGCGACGGCCGTTGTACAGCAGCAGCGACGCACGTGCGGCGCTCATCCCGCCACCGGCCTCGCGCCTTTCTTTCTCACTCACCGCTCTATTTGGCAACGGCTATATATGCGACTGTTGCTGATGCTGCTTGGCGATCTCCGCTCCAAAATTGTTTGCGCGCACAATAAACACACGAGTGTAACTCGCGAGAACGAGACCGTACGCGCGCACAGATGCACAGACACACTCGCGCGCGAAATCGCTGTCAAGGGAGGGTGGGCTTTTCGGCTATATACGCGCTTGCTCGTCGCGAGCGCAGAGAAACAGGCAGCAGCGTCCACAGCAGCACAAGCGACCGCGTCGCAGCACTACGTGCGTGTGAATAAGCGGCGGCGGTGACTGGCCGCGTGTGTGTATCGCGGAGAGTTTGCTCGTACATTCGTTCGTTCGCTGGCTCAAACACACACTTGCGCTTCCTTCCGCGCCTGCGCGTTACGACAGACGACCTCACGCCGCGCGAGAAAGCCGCTGCCGTACTCCTGGCTCCCCTCTCTGCCTGCTGTTGCAACTGGCTCGGCCTGCTAACGATCGATCTCGACCCGTGTGCTGCCCCTCGCGCGAATATATACTTAGACTAAGCTCACCTTTTTTTATAAGAGCACGGTGGTTCTCTGTATTGCCTGCTGTTGCTCGCGATCCCTTCTGCAACAACCTCTCGCGCTCTTTTTATTTACGAAAAAGCTTTTAGGACGCATGCGTGCTATCCGTTTTACCGCTATCTTTTGCCATGGCGTTCAAATTGGCTTTTTTCTATTGATGATTTGGATAGTTTGACAATCAACTCTTTCGTATAAGAAGTAAGTGTGTTGATTTTGTAAATTGATACGAATTTAAGTAGTATCAGATACGAATATAATTGCAAGCAAGTATATGATGATAAATAACATTTAAAAAATCAGTAACTACTTAACTGATATTGATTAAAATTAAAAGATAATTTTAATTGTATAAGAACGAATTAAACCGTTAGTTCGCATTTTAGTTGATTTTAATATTCGACGGACTTATAATATACAATGTTTAATATATATATCAGAACGTTTCATAAAATACCAATTGGCGTACAATGCTTTTTTAATAAAAGAAAAAAAAACATAATCAACATAACTTTCGTAAACTCATTTCTTAAAAGAATCGATAGTTGGAATGTCATCAACTTTTGATCAGAATTACTTTTTTTAAAACTAGTATACGAGTCCTCTGCTGCGTGTACGATTAACGCAGCAATCAATTCGCTAAAAATAAATTGAGAAAACTTAGCAACATTATATTCACATATTTAATAAGATATATTTTTAGAATAATGCAAGATACAATAAAAATTATTTCTTTGTATTGATACAAGTGATCCCACTTTCTAGTGCATTTATCTGAGCCACATCATTCAAATGACGATATTCTCTTATAGCCTTAATTCTTTCAATAGTAACTTCATCAAAGCATTTTTTTATAACTTCAGGAAATATATATTTTTCAAGGAAAACATATAGATTTCTCTCTTTTATATGATGAACATCAATATTGTAGAAGTTCTACAAAAAAGAATTATCGAAATATACTATTATGAATTAGTTCAATTAATGAATGCTAAATTACACACACAGTTATTACCATTAAACATTTGGCTCGAGGATTAATTTCTATTGCTTTTAAAAAGTATCTACAAGATTCTTTTAAATCATGTTCCCTTTTCCAATAACTAAAAGCTACATTTAGAATTAAAGGTTGAAGCTGCTTGTCTGGCAATGATTTGTACTTAACCAGCATGTTCAGAAGATATTTTGTAACATCGATAGACTTCTGGGTTTTGATTATGCAATCCACATATTGTTTTTCTGCAGCTAAATTAAAGTCATCAATAGCTTTTTCGAAATAATGTGTAGCTTCCTAAAAAGGTAATGAAAGGCATGTGATCTTGGAACCAAATTTTTCTTATTTTGTTATTTAGAACATTACATTGAATGTTTAAACATAAATTTTAATTTTTATTCTATGATTTCTTTTTTGCCAAACAGTATTATTGGTATTAAAAAAAGTCATTTATGTAATAAACAATGTACAATTAGTAACAGAAACTAATGAGTTGATAGAATCACATGCATGATTTTCAAAACTTTAAAACAATTTTATAAACCAATAAATAAGTTGTTTATTACTAAAATATGACAACTCATTTATGAACTTACCAGATATTCTTCTCTTTTCAAAAAATAAATTCCTCTGTAATGCAAGTACATGCTGTTCTTCGCATCAGTTTTTTCAGCTTTATCGAGGCAAGCTTTTGCCTTTTGCCATTTCTTCTGACTGATAAATCCAAGAGCCAATCGTAGCAATACTGAACTGCACAAACAATCAAAAGACGCAAATATATTGTTATATATTTTCAAAGCTTCCTTGTACTGCCTACTTTCGCGATACATTTGTGCAACGAAAATCCCGTAATTGGGATTCTTTGAGATATTATAAGCTTTTAAAAAACTCTCTCTTTCTTCGCAATCAGGTCTGTCAAAAAGGGATGAATAATCTCTTCTTTGACGACGGAGATTTTTGGCCAAAATGAAGTGCCACATATCGCAATTTCCGTTCAATTTCATTGCTTCACGAATTAATTGTTCAGCTACTTCAGAACCAGCTCTATGGTATATAGACCAACAGATAGCTTTACAGCCTAACAAAGTGCTCTTTTCCTTATTATTCATTTCATCTATATGTTCAAAGTTTTGATAAACTAGGTCGAGCTCTTTTTCCATATTCAATCTGAGATAAACGAAACATTTTGTAGCCTGGAGTACAGAATACACAATTTTGCTGGATACTTCTGGATGAGCTCTGAAAATGTTGTTTATTCAAGTCAGTTAGTGTTGAAAAATGTATTTTATTATTAAATATAGCTATACTTATTTTTCAATATCCGGTAGATATCATTACATTCTTTCAGTTTTTCGAATATTAAATTACTATCACTCTTGTCATCTTTCGTCTCCATAAAAATTATCATTAGAATACGCATCAATTTCAGTAATGGAAGAAGTTCTTCTTCGTCATGGGGAGTGTAATCAATCTTGATTGATTTGCTTATATTCTCCAGTTCCCAATTAAATGGACATTCAAGTTTGGATAACAACTCCTTATAAGTTTCGTTTTTTGACGCCTCAGTATAATTATTCCTGATCGATGCCATTTTGAACCTATTAAAAATGTACTGCCTTAACCAGGCGTTTCAACTCCTCGATTGACACAATCTGACTGAGTCATAAGTTACATACTATACTCTACTCCCAACTTCAGATAAAATGTTTATACTTATGACATTCCTCGATTATGACACTATATATATTCGAGTAAAAAGTGCTGCCACCATCGATCACAATTGTTTTTCACCAAAAACTAACTTTCTTATTTTTGTTGTTTGTAATGTGTTAACTAATAACTAGTTCATTTTTGATAAACTTGTTTAGGGTTCACACGAGCTCTTGAACCTTTTTCCTTTATATTTTTTTCAGCAAACAATATATGACTAATTTTTCTATATAATTACAAAACATTTGATATAAAACTATATACTACTTGCACAGAAAGGCTAAGACAGCGATTATATTTTATTTCAAAATTTCGTCTTACTATAATGGACATAAATACATTATCTGTCGTATCGTGGGGCTCTTAGTGACGCGATCGGAGGAATCAGGGAAAAGGTTGAGGTAAAATCACTATAAACTCACAGTGGATATGGTAGACACTTTAATATACGAGGGTTGTCCGATAAGTACTTAACCTACAAAAGAAAAATGAAAATTTTGGAAAAGTGGCGTTTTATTTTTCAACATAGTCTCCTTTTAGTTCGATACACTTGGCCCAGCGATGCTCCAACTTCTTTAACCCGTCTGAAAAATACATTTCCTCGAGGTCTGAAAAGTAGGCTTCCGTGGCAGCGATTACCTCCTCATTCGACTCAAATTTCTGCCCGGCGAGTGACTTTTTCAAGTTTGGAAACAAAAAGAAGTCGCTCGGGGCTAAATCTGGAGAATACGGTGGATGGGGCAGCAGTTCGTAGCCTAATTCGACCAATTTGGCCATGGCGACGGCGGAGGTGTGAGCCGGTGCGTTGTCATGGTGAAAGAGCACATTTTTCTTCGCCAAATGGGGCCGTTTTTTCTGCAATTCGACGTCGAATCGGCCCAATAATTCGGCATAGTACAGCCCTGTGACCGTTTTGCTCCTCTCCAGGTAGTCGATGTAGATCACACCTTGTGAATCCCAGAAAACGGTGGCCATCACCTTTCCGGCCGATGGGGCAGTTTTCGCCTTCTTCGGAACACTCCGATCTATCCCCGATGTTATACAGTGGCGTAGGCCCCTTTTTTCTTCTTGATACTTCTTGTTCGTATTGCGCTTTACTCGTGAGTAAGTTTGCCCTTATTTCTTTGAGTTTATCGAGATGATTACGTTGAAACTCGTCTACGTATCTTGCTGCGTCTTGGGACTTTAGTTGAAGAGTAGGAAGATGTGTTTCCAAATGCGTTTTTCTAAAATACATGGCCTCCATTGGCGCATATCCAGTTCCTCTATTCGGCAGGTTGTTGAATATAAACTGTATTTTCTTTAAATGCCGATCCCAGGTGTCGACGTGGTCTTCGACTAATATCTTGATTTGATCCTTTATTGTTGCGTGGGCCCTCTCTAACGACCCGTTCGACTGGGGATGACCTGCAGCTATGACTATCGGCTTTATCTTGAGGTGCTTTGTAAAGACTTTCATCACTTCTGACTGCAAACCCTGAGCGTTATCCATTATTATTTCCTGTGGGGCTCCATATAAATAGACGTAATGGTTAAACAGGGCGTTGGCGGTTTCCTGGCCAGAGACTGTCTTTACCGGTATTAGCGTCAAAAATTTGGTAAGCTGGTCTTGGACGCTGAGTATAAATCGGTTGCCATTTATTGAAGCTGGTAGAGGCCCGACGTGATCGATCGCAATCCTTTCTCCTAAACATCTTGGTGGTTGTATCAGTACTCCATCCGCTTGCGTGTTATATTGTGCTCGCTTCGTTATTTGACACTTCTTTATGAAATTCTCTACGTCCTTTCTACAATTTGTCCAAAAGTATTTTGCGGAAATTAATTCGAAAGTCTTATTTATACCGAAATACCCGTTCTCTGGCCCGTGGTATAATTTAAGTATTTCTAACTTCTCAGCTTCGGATTTCACTTCTGTTGTAGCTGTACTTTTTATTACTACGTCGGGTACTATGTTAAATCTTGTATAGATGAACCTTATCATTCGAGTGATTATGTATTTAACATTGTTATCGAGCAAAGACATAGCAAGTAGGCGTGGTGATACTAGTCAGGTGACCTTTTAGTTTGTTGAAAGCTATCTGTGGTTCTTCGTCGTGTGGTTCCTATTAGGATGTCGTGCTCGGCTCCTATTATAATAGTCGGTAACTTTGTATGAGTAACCTCTCGAATTGGTCGGAATACTGTATTTCGATAAGTCTGTAGGTATTCTTCGAAATCTTGGCTCTCATCATAATACGTTTGAACTGCGTGTACTCGCCTGGAGAGTGCGTCAGCATGCATTATGATCGAGCCCTTTTTGTATTCGATTTCGTAATCGTACTCTTCCAATTTCAGTCTCCAACGCATTAGACGCGACGACGGATCCTTGACGCTCATTAGCCACTTTAGAGGCTTGTGGTCGGTAATAATTTTAAAATGCTTACCGTACAAAAAGTGCCTGAAGTGCTTGACTGCCCACACAATCGCCAAAAGCTCCCTCTCTGTGGTGCTGTATCGAGATTTTGCGTCGTTGAGCGTTCTTGATGCGTAGGCGCACGGCCTTTCAGACTTTCCTTGCACTTGTAAGAGGACTGCACCAACAGCCTTGTTACTGGCGTCCGTACATAGTATAAATGGCTTGATATGATCGGGGTATATCAGCACAGACTCACTCGTGAGAGCTTCCTTTAAGCTCTGCAAGCTCTTGTCTTGCTCTTCGTTCCACACAAATGGCTTGTCCTTTTTTAATAAGTCCGTCAGTGGTTTAGCAACTTTGCTAAAGTTCTTGATGAACTTCCTGTATTACCCTGCGAGTCCGAGAAAACTCTTTATTTCCTTCGCGTTTGTTGCGGTGTTCTGTAACTCCTCACGGCTTCGATCTTGTTTGGATTTGGTTTCACTCCGTCTTTTGTGATGACGTGCCCGAGGTATTCTAATTCGGGACGTAAGTACTCACATTTGTCTGGTTGCAACTTTAAATCGTGGTCCCGCAGCCGCTGCAACAATGTTCTTAATCTTTCGTTATGTTCTTTAAGGATGGATCCAAAAACAATTATGTCGTCGAGAAAGACGTAGCAGATTTTGCCAATTAGTCCTCGCAATATATATGGTTGATTGCTCGCTGGAAGGTTGCGGGCGCGTTTTTTAGACCCATCGACATCCTCTTAAATTGAAAGTGTTTATTCGGAGTGGAAAAGGCCGTGAGCTTTCTTGATTCCGAGTCCATCAGAACGTGATAGAATCCTGAGTAGACATCAAAGGCGCTGAAGTATTGTGCCCCGTTCATATTTTCTATGATCTCGTCAATGTGTGGTAGAGGAAAGTTGTCTTGTTGGGTGTGTTCGTTGATCTTGCGAAAGTCCACGACGACTCGCCATTTCTGTTTGCCAGCATGAATACTTTAGAAATCTATTGCTGCGTCTGCAACGGTACGATTGAAAAAGTTGACTAAAAATTTATAGTTGTTTTACCATAATAATTATACTTATACAGCGCTGACGATGACTTTTATATAACATCAAGTACATTTTTCCAAAAAATTTGTAAAATCAATAAGTAAAACAACATTGTCGGTTTAATATAAAGTAAAATATGTTTTTATTATTTATTGTTGTTTTTATGTTTTTATTATTCATAAAATATATTTATTAACGAAGTTAACGGTAGTAACATTGGTCTATGTTTTGTGATTATTTTCTTTCACTATATGAATGCGTAAAACAAAAAAAATCAACTGTTCATTCTACTAACTCATTCTTGCGCGTAATAATTTAGGTAAATTTTAGAATTAATAGTGCATTATGACACAAGTGCAGATACGATGTGATACAAGGCACACGAAAAAAATAGTACATTACGGCACATGTTCAAGAAAGAGCTTCTAGACAAAAATCTACTTTCCCGCACTTGTATCATAATGTCCTAATTCTCAAACATATTTCATACCGTATTTGCGTTACTACCTTGCGCACGGAGTCTCGAAAATAAAATTAGAACTCAGAATAGTACATTACGATACAAGGGCGGGAAAGTAGATTCTGGTCTCGTGTGGCGTTTACGTCCGAGCGAAGCGAGCATGTGCTGTACCGTATTTTTTGATACGACGTGTGGACAGTGCGATTTTCAATGCACCTTTTCTACCGACTGTGCGGGAAAGACGCACTTTGCGCACGGAGTGTCGAAAAAGTACTTATAATAGAATCGTAGAACGTGAAATGTCAACAAAAATTTCATTTTCAATAAATTAATTGTAAATATTATCAAATTATAACCACGTATGCAATATTCTTTTGTATAAAATTTTATTTCAAGTACACATTGATGTACACAGCATACATAAAGTTATAAGTTAACAAATATATCAGCATCTTTCACATATATTTATATTTGTTTAGAAATTTGGTTTTTAGGAACATTATGCAATAAAATATATATTAATCAGTATCTAATCCATATCTGTTTCCTAGACATATGTTATATTACAGCTATAACACAATTATAATTATCTAACAAATTATGATCACGTAATGTGTAATACCTAAATGCAGAATTTTACATTTCAATCATAAAACCTTGTGATTATTTATAAAATGTTGTCTGAGCATTAATACATTTTTAAATTTATAGATTAAAATATTTTTAAATATGCAAGCTAATCAACATTATACTTTTTAAATTAGATTCTGAATTTCTCGTTAATAATCACTGCTCATTAACATTGCAGCTTGATTCACATATGTAATTTTAAATTCACATGGCGGTTGATGCCACGGTTCTCCATCAACTTGCATTGCACAAGATTTTTTTAAAATTACCTGAAAATTTGTAATAAATGGTATATCAACAAATGTTTAAGTACACTCCAGAATGTAATAGAGATACATACTTTAATGCTTTTAGCTTGTCCTAATCGTAATGGTTGTGAAAGGCCAACTTGTAATTGTGCAACATGGAGTGAAGAATACAAAGCAACAACTTCAACTTTTTTATCACTTATACTTTGGGGACTTACATTATTATCTACAATAAATAAACATAAGCATTAAAACCTTTGAAAAATTTTCAATATAACCAGTAAAGTAATACATTTTTTCTTAAATTCCACCTTCAAGATTCATATTCCATAAATCAACACCAGCACCCCATGATGGAATGTTTAATACTACAATACTTTCAATAGAAGGTAACTCCATTTTGTTACCATCCAAATATACTTCAATATTTTTATTTAAATCTTTGCATTCCCTTTCTATAACTTGTTGTGTTCCAAAACATAAATACAAAAGCTAAAAATATTAATATTATTACTTGCATATTTTTCAAGAAAAATATTTGGCAAATTTGTAAGTACCAGAAACCTTATTAAATATTCTGTGACTAAATAAATAAAAACGGCTTTCTCTAGTACGGTGGAAATTTAAAGTAACTTGTGCATCTACACCCACACTCAAATAATTGTACATATGCATTGTCTTGTGGTGCGATCTTAATCCCAAACCTTTTTTATTGTCTATTGTAAGAGACCATCTAAAGAAAAAATTATTTAACAATAATAAATAATATAACTCTTAGTATTCGTCATTGTAATGTGAAATATACCTATCCAAGTTTACTGTTTTAGATGCCTGTATTGTTTGTAAAGTATCACATACATCAGTGTATGTATCATATTCTTTGCCCCATCCTAATACTCTTGATAGATCATTGCCAGTTCCTAATGGAAGAATTGCTACAGCTGGAATTGGCTGTGTTGATAACGACTTTGAATTAACGTATTTATATGACATTAATAATAATAAAAATATATGCTAATTGTTTATTACATTCAATTGTAGCTTATGAATGGCATCTAATAACCAAGCAACAGTACCATCACCACCAGCAACTGCAATCCGATAAGGAGTATCACCTAATAAATGGCACCATTCAAGTGCAGCCACTGGATCACGGTCTGATAAATCTATCACTTGAATAGGATTTAATATCCTTCGAAAAGAAGATAATATTTCAGCACCTTCATTGTTTCCTGACTTTTGATTAGCTGTGATATGTTATTAAATAATCAACATTTGGAAACATCTGAATTCTTAATTAATATTGCAATTAATAAAAAATTCATTTACCAACTACGATTAATGGGCACCAGTTTGGCCATAATGGTGGTACAATAGATTTTAATTGGACTCTCCGCTGAATATTCTGTCTTTTATTAGCTATTTCAAGACTTGATGGAGGAATAATCATAAGCTTAAATACACCAAAATCACATAGCTGTCATAAAAATAAAAAAGCATCAATAGTTTCAGATCAAAACTAGAAAATAAAACATATTTAAGAAAAATCGCTTTACATCACTAATGGAAAGTTTGCATGTTTCATGTGCACATCTTTGACACCAGCAACACCACCAATCTAATAATCCTGGTTCTAAACTACATTCTTCATCACAGACATCACACATTGCAATTAATGGTAAATTACCTGAAAAAGTATTATAAATTTAAAATTTATAAAACTAAAAAACTTGAGGGGTTTGATAATTCTGTAAAGGTTATAAATGATTATTTGATTCTATACATAGATTGCTAGAAATAGAAATTTGCTCCTAAGCATTGTAAAAAGGATTTTTATTTGTTATTTGAATATTTAAAGTATTTTAATAATGTAGTATGATAAAAAATAGAACTTACCTCTAATCCAATGATGCTTTATAGATTCTTTACTGAGTGAACTAAGCTCTTTACATTTAAACTTTTTATCAGCTTTCTTAATACATTCGTGGTCAGCACATATCCCACACGAGTCACAGTACCATCCATTTGCAGCTATTAAAAGTGATTCGCATACATTGCAAAAATAAGCCTAGAAACAAATTTAAAAAGATGTACATCAACAAATAACTAAATTATAATTAAAAAAGTAAATTTCAATGTACTCTAGAACTTCGTTTAATGTTTTGCCAATTATGTCTTCTGTTGTCTCGAACATGGACGTTAAACTCTCCTATTAAAAACTTTACAACATTTATAGTGACAACAAATATTATCATTGTTGAAACTGTTGGCAAAAAACATCCATAAAATCCATCGGTCCACATTTTTTATAATTATGTATCAATTTTCACTGGAAATTCTAAATGTAAAAAAATAAACTTGATTAGCAGAAATGAGATTGAGCTAAAGAAAAGTAATACAAACAATGCAGTGACCATTGAAGTTACTTCAAAATGGTAAAAAATTACTTACCTTGTACAATTAACAACTATAAATAAACGCTTTACAAAATCCACAACTATTCATGTTGATTTCATCCATTTTATGGATTTTTATTGTCACTTCCATGGTAAAAGATGTTTTAGTTATTATTTTATATTTAGGTATCAAGAAGCAAAATCAATTCCTAAGCTATGAACATTGCGATAGTGAGTTGATAGCATGGTGCAGCGGTATTGATACTGTTGATAGGACGGTATAAATTTATATCAGCTTACTTATATCAACAAAACATTAACTATACTAATTAATGTTGATTTCTCGTAATTCCACTGTACTACTTTTAATGAAACAACGATAGCTTTGTGTAAGCGATGGGAGGGAAAATCGAAATGGCAGCTTAATTTAATTTACATTACAATATAAATATTAATTTTAGAATAAAAAAATTTATAGTGTGATAAAACAGTAATTTGATAATTTTAAGAATAAATAATATTTATTTTAGATTTCTATGTAGTTATAAACTTGTATATGGCCGGTGTAGTATATCATACGCAATACACATTCACAAACCTCACACATTTTCAATCAAAATAAGCTATCATACGTCGAATATATATATATATATATATATATATATAAAGCTTGTAACTAGTACTGGAATTTCGAGGTTATATTTGTACGCAACGATATATAGATTCATCCGACTTTTATAATAGTTTTTTATTTGAAACTTTGTCGATTGTGATATTTAGTTGTAGATTTATAAATTTACAATCTTCATACAAGGACTGTGATATGAATCATCTGTGAGCTACAACTTATAATGTATGCATAAAGTTGAGTATTCTTCTACAACACTTTTATATTTAAAAACTAGAATTTATAGATACAAAATAGTTTAATATTTTTCTAATATTCATTGCATAAATAAACATAAATAGGAAAACAGGAATTAATAAGTAACAAAGTTCACACAGACACTAAAATCATGACTAAGGACAGTAAAGCATTGCTGAAGGAAGCTAAGAAATTATTGACTGAAAAAGAATACCTAATTGCTATTAAAATTTGTAAGAAAGTATTAAAAGATGATAAGTATAATTATACCGCTTTGGTTTTAATGGGAGCTTCATTGCTAGAAGTTGATGATTTACAAATCCAAGTTCCAACTACATTAAAAAAAGCTGTTGACATTCAACCTGACAATCCTCTAGCTTGGCATGGATTAATGACATATTATGAAAGGCAGCCACCTTCTACTGAAATATGGTCTGAATTAGTCTCTGTATATAAAAAGCTTCTACAACTAGAGAGGTTTGAATTATTTCTACTATTTTTATTGTTTTACTGTTGGTAACAATAAAAAATTATCTGTCTTTTTTGTTGCAGTGATTTAAAGAAAATGTCACATTACTTAAAGAATATTTCAGAAATTATACTGAAATTAACTAATGATGAAGTTTTATCAGATACTGTTAACAAACTTTGTAAGTTGAAAGATCAAAAAGGTAGGGAACCAGAGGCTATAAAAGCTATCAATGAAACTATAGTATCAGTACTGATTCACTATCCAAAGTTAACTAATGATTACGATGAAATCTTGGAACAAGTGTTGATAACTATTATTGAGGATGAAAATTCAGTCAATAGGCATGAGTATTATAAAAGATATTTGAGGCTATTGTATAAATTAGAAAAGTATAATAAACTTCTATCTGAAGCCATAAAAATGCACGAAATATTCAGTCAAGATATTTATCCTTTGGGTAATTTGGAAATTAATATTGAATAAACAATTGAAACACTTCCTATTTCTAATTAACACTTCATTTATTCCAGAATGGATTTGCAAAGTGTATTCAGAGTTAAGCATAACTGACATTGCTTTTGATAAAATTGACATTGTCATTTATTATGAGACTTTATTGGATCATGAATCAGAATCTGTTCTTGGATATTTTGCCCAATCAGTGTATTTATACAAAACAGACAATCTAATTGATGCAAGAAATATTCTTAGTAAATTAGTTAGTGTCAAACCAAAATGGTTTCATGCTTGGTATCTGTTGAGTATAGTTGATGTCAAACTCTACTGTTGGGAAGATGCTGAATGTGCTGCACAACATGCTCAAAAAATTATACCTGAAGGTGATCCACACAAGTTACTTGGCAGGATTAATCTTATTTTATTGGAAGCTCTTGTGAAGAGTCCAAGCAAACTCAAATGGAAAAGAGCTGAAGCATTATTTGATAATGTAAATATATTAATAATTTTTAATTTATCAATTTTTCTAATTATTTTACACTTATGGATTACATATTTATTTCAGTTATCTGATAATTCTTCAAAAAGTGCAGTTCTACGTGCTCATCTAGCTGTTCAGCTTAGAGATCCTCAAGCTAATCATTTAATAAATAATTTGAAAAATGATTCAGAACTTGAAATTCAAGCTATTATACTTCATGCTACGGACTTACTGTTGAATAAACACTTGGAAGAAGCTGCTTATGTTGTGAGACCTACATCTAAACATACATCTGAAGCTTGGCTAACTTTGGGTAAAATACATTGGGAAATGGCTGATTATGGTCACAGTCTATTGGCTTTCATAAGAGGCTTAGAGGCTGATGGAAATAACTGGGAATGTCTGCTTTACTTGGGGAAGTATTATCAAAATCAAACACAAGAATACGAAAAATCTAAAAAATCTTATTTAAAAGCTTTACAAATTAATCCTAACTCTGACCAAGCTGGAATTGGATTAAGTTTAGTGTATCGACTTACAAAAAATATAGTAAGTATTACGTGAATCAATATTATTTACATTTTATCAATGCTATAATAATATTAATTTGCTATTTTGCGTGCAATGTAGGAAGCTAATATAAAATTTTTGAATGATTTAACAAGTCAAAGTAGAGGACCTAAGTGGGCATTTCTTCAATTAGGATTGCAGCATCTTGATAATGATAATATATCAGAAGCTATTTCAATTCTCAGAAATGCTACCAAAATTGATCCAAATGACAGGTTTGTCTGAATTAAAACTTCTTTCAATATTTATAGAATTTTTGAAAAACTAATAGTTTTCTTATTTTCACAACTGATTTTTAGTAATTGTTGGGAATGTCTTGCTGATGCATATTTAAAACGAGGGGCTTATTTATCAGCTGAAAAATCATATGCACGAGCTGTAGAATTAAATCCAGAATCATTCTATTCTATGACTCAAATTGCCAATATCAAGTTGGTAAGAGTTTTGTTACAAATATTTTTTGATTCTCGTAAAATAAATTTTGACTGTTTAATTTTTATAGATGATCGGTCAGTATGCTTCGGCAAAAACTGATTACATAAGTATTTTGGAAAAGAGTAAAGATAACGTTGCTGTATTCAAAGGTTTGGCTGAGTGTTGTTTCAAACTCGGTAAAGATCATGCCAACCAACAATTATTAGCTCGTGCAAGAGACGATTTCCAAGAGGCTGTAGATTTTTCGACAAAAGCTTTGATACAAAAGAGTAATTTCTTAAGTAACTGGAAACTTTTAGGTGATATTTGTTTCACTAGTTCTCTGCTACCAGAGAAATATTGCTTTTTAAAAGTAATTTCAGATTTAATTCAATCTGACGTGAAAGAAAATTATGTAATATTAACTAAAAAAGACATTTTGCTATTATCATCAAGGTATAAGTAATTGTCACAAACATGTAATTTTGCTCTGATAAAGTTTATTTACATATTGATAATTATTATTTTTAGATGTTTCTGCAAAGCTTTGAGCATATCAAAAAATTCTTCTCTCTTGTGGCATGACTTAGCTCGTTGCTACTTAGCTCAGGCATATTTGAATATTTCAGAAAATTACAAAGACACTTTAAACAAAAGTTTAGTAGCAGCAAAACAAGCGGTGAAGCTCAACCCATCTTCTCCGTTTCATTGGAATTTGTTAGGAGTTATCTGTATGTCAAACGAGATAAAAAACTACGCCTTGGCTCAACACAGCTTTGCTATGGCAATTGAAAAAGAATCTAATAATGCTGTAGCATGGACAAATCTTGGAACTTTGTATTATCTCTTAGGTATTGTTTTAATCGCGAATTATTTTTGCAAACGATAAATATGTTTATTATGAAAGTATTTATTTTCAATTAGTGTAGAATATTCACTCTCCATACAATTAATTCATCCAAAAATTTATTCTCAACAGATGATCCTTACCGAGCTAATGAAGCTTTTTCCTGGGCTCAAAAGGGAGATCCAGCTTATGTGAATTGTTGGATTGGTCAAGCTTTTATTGCCGAAAATTTTTCACAAAAAGATGCAATGGATTTATTCCGTCACGCAGCTCAACTCTCTTACCATCACGAAGCAGCCACTGGTTATGCTCATTGGGTACTCAAAACTGTTATGGATTCAGAGGCAAAGAAAGATTTACTTTACGACTATATTATTGAAAAAATGCATGCTGTCATAGTTGCTTCTGATAGTATGAGTCATTACACAGGTAATTTATATTAATAAGTTACACTGTCGAGAATTTCTTTAATTTTTTACAGCGTGATATTTGTTGAAATATTGATAATTTTGCAGCTCATGTCCCGACAAATTCGCACGCGTTAAACTCATACGGATTACTGCTGGAAAGACAAAAGCTTTACAAATCTGCTGCAGAAATGTTTAGTAATGCATTGAAATACCTGGAGGACGATAAGCACAAAGATGAAATAAGTGTAAATTTAGCACGTGTAATGGTACAACAGGAAAAGTACGAAGATGCTGTAAAAATATGTCTGGGAATAAAAGAAGCAAATTTTGCCTCTCATTGTCAATTGGCTTTATCGCTCTTCAAAGGTCAAATTTTTAAACGTGTGACTACTATTTAATTAATTTTATGTAATTATCTCGTTTCAATTATTGTTTTTCTTTTATTTTAGCTGAACATTTTAAAGAATCTTACGAGGCATATGAAGCGGCATTACACTGGTTAGCTGACGCTCCTTCAGATAAAGCTCATGTACTTTGTGCAATGGCTGCAATGGCTTATATGTTTCAAGAAAGTAACGATGCTAAAACTCTTCTTTACCAATCAATTGATATCAAACCACCAATTGTTTCTGGTTTATTGGCACTGGCTGCTTTGGGTATGCTTGATGGAGACAAAAATTTAACGCATCTTGTATTAAAAGAATTGAAATTGTACGACAATCTATCAGAGTATAGATATCATATTGCCAAACTGACGGCTTATTCATACTTAATACAAAATGATATGGAAGGTGCCTCTAGAGTATTATGTAAAAATATTCATCGTTACCCAGGTAAATATTGATACATTTTCATTAATGATTAGCGCGAAAATTCTATTAGAAAGTTTATTTTTTATTCTCGTTTTTTTCTAATTTGAATTTTCAAATGTCAAAATATTTACTTTTACTTTAGTTATCAATTGATAACTTTACTATGTATGAAATATTTAATTTCTTTTCAATAGATTCTTCAGAACTTTGGACTAATTTGGCTAAAATATTATTAACAATGAGTGATATTAATCCATTCTACAAATGTGTAGACAAAGCACTTTTCTTAGGAAATGATTCATCAAATAAAAATATTGCAAAAATTAAGTGCATGTCATCATTGAGCAAACTTATTACATTGAATCCAGAAGAAGGTTTACGATCTGTTTTGAATACTGTACATTCTTTCCCTGCTAATGTTGACAGTTGGTCAATTCTAATCACTAGTCTTATGCCAAGGTAATCGCTTTATCTTTGTAATAATTGTTACAATTAGACAGTCAAGAAAACGTAAAACAAATTTATTGAAAAAAAAACTTAAATTGATTTCATTAGATGGAGTAAAATTTCTCAACTGAATGCTCACTGGTTAATGGTTCTGGCTTCAAGAGTACGAAATACTCTTATATGTACAAGAAACATGGAACAATGGCTTTTAAAGAATGAGAAACTTGCCAATGATATCGCATATTGCTAATATTACTTACATAATGTCACTGTAAAAACTGTTGTACAGAAATAAAGTTTAATAAATGAAGTCATTGATTTCTAATGTCTTATGTCCCTACAGCTTTTTACTAATACATTTGCATATATAAAAGAGCAAATAATCACATAATAATTAGATAATGTTTCTTGAATTTGAAGTGTTTATGCCACATCTTTTAAGCTTGGCCTAGAGTTCGACTTATTATAATTTCTGTTTCTGTCATAACTGATATTCTCTTCCCCTGATCTATTAGGATACCTATTGGAATGAATCCTACTCTGGTTATCATATTCATTATCCCTGTGTTGATTATTTTGCTGGAATAAATTTCTACGTGCCCATGGCTTATCATCCCCTCTTGCAATAGCATAATCAATAGTAGTGGATATATGTTCATCTAATGTCTGAAATATACATTATACATATTTTAGTTATCATATTTTTCATTTTTTATTTTATTAATATTAAACAAGTACATACTGTTTGTTGTACATAATCATGTATTTTAATCTGTTCCAATGATTTCACAAGATCAGAATTGTCGTCAAGATTTTCATCTTTGACAAGTTGCTCAACTTTTTTTATCTAAAACAAACGTATACATTATTATATATTTGAAAATTAAATTAAAACTGTTCATTAAACATGATAAATTTAAAAAACAAACTGTGTCTTTGAAATAAAGTTGTTTACGCCTGTTAGCCAAATCTTGCTGGAGTGAGGACCGGAAATAGACTATTATTTCATCAATACGTTTCAATTTTATATAAGCTTCAATTTTAATACATCTAATATCAATATATCTTGCATTCCTAGCTAATGATGCAGTCTCAAGAGCAATAGTAGGATTATTCTGTTTTAAAGCTAAAGCTCCCATAAATGTGAGAGCTCTTCGAGGAGTAGTAAAATCTCTTGTTTGAGTTTCTTTAAATAAATCTAATGCATATTTAAAACTTTCTTCTGTATTCTGTAAAAAAAGATGGTTAGCTAGTGGATTTTGTAAGTAATTAAAGCATTCATCTCATTATTTCATACCTCTTGATAACAGGCACCAATTACAATAATAAATGGATTTTTAGGATGTACAATACCGTGAGTTGTTCTAGACTTAATCATATTGTAAACTTCTCTACATTCTGCATATTTACCATGATTATACAGCATATCAAGAAGTAATTGATAAGACATTACTTGATCAAAGAAATTGGTCAATTCTGGATCTTTAAAAGCTTGGAGTGCTAATTCTGGCTCATTGAGATGATAAAATGCTCTCATTGCTACTGTACCAAATACAAAACTACCAAACCTCAAGTTATTTTGGGAATTATAATTTTTCATCATTTTTAATAACAAATTTAATTGCTCTGGCTTTTTCTCAACAAGGTGCAACATAGTCTTCAAATCTTCTGTGAAAATCATTGATTCATCTTTTTTTTCAACAAAGTCCTTCATTTTATCAAAAAATAAATTCTCCACATTTAAAAATTGAGACTTCACGTAGTCTCTTGCATTTAAGTAACCATTCATTCCCATTGTGTGTGGAGCATATAATTGTCTTGTTGCTGAAAATAATATTTCTTTTTCAATCTCACAATGCTGTGAATATCATTCAGTTTAGTAATAATAAATATCGAATTCACTAAAGATGACATTTAACTTAATCGAACAATTACATCAATTCACAAAATTGAAAACAGTGCCGCAATAGTGAAAAATTAATGTTTATTTAAAATAATGTTCTCGATAATTGTTGCTAAAGTTAGAAAGTAAGGTTACGAAAGTATTTCTTACCGACAACAGCAAACTGTTTGAAGACATTTTTGCTCAACAAGTTAAAACTGGTCTTGGCAATATTTTTCACACAAATTGCCATTTTAAAAAAATTCGAATTAACAAATTAAATTTGATAAAGTAACACTTTTATATTTCTTATGCACTGTCAATGCATGGGGATAAGAAAGGAAAGAAGCGATCGTCTACACCACGTGTGATTCTAGTTTAGAGTGGAGTAGCCAATCAGCATGCGTTATTGGTGCACTACTGCTATTATGTAACTAGAATAGAGAACTATTATTTCTCCTGTATCTTCATTTTCATTAGCCTATATGATATTCTTTTACTGACATATTATTATATTTACAATATATATATGTCGAAAAATTAAAAATAACAAATTAATTAATGTATGACTCATTACTTAAATTATGATTTCCAACGTGTTTCTTTTTTCTTTCGTGTTTTCAAGACGCACCCGATAATCACGGAAAATAATATTTGCCTAATTGTTTGAATCCGTGGAAAAATCGACTACGCGTTATATAAGGTTGTATTGATGTAAAGCGTTATATGCAAAATAAAATATACGTAAGAAACAAGATTAAACACAAAACAGCGGAACAGCGGTAAAAATACGAACAAACGCAGGTGAAAAGTGTCTCATTATTTTTAACAAGAGTCCTAATCGGAGATTAGATATCAATTTTAATCTCCGCATTAACTACCCTCTTAACCTTCGTGAGAATTACAAGAGGATATGGGATATGTCATCTTATTGGAATAAAAGACCACGTTCTTTTCAGCATTATTTCACGATATCTCAAGCACACATTATCAGTCGAAGTTTTGAGCATGCGATTGAGCATCAAGCAGTTTTCAAGTTTAGTTTTCGTTTTGTGTACTCCTGAAAATAGATATACGCAATCAACAATTGCTACACAAATTCGATTAGACATAGCTATGCCGTCAAAAAAACACGAATAGCAGTCGTGGGCATCTTAAACCACTTGTCGAGAATCTCGACATCGTGATATGGAGATTACAAGATTTAGCGAAGGGTACAGCAAAGACACACCGCTTAAGGACGCGCACCGGGATGGAAATATACGTGCTGTACGCTTGTGAACTCAAGGGGCATGCTATAAATGATCCTTCCGGTTCAGACACGAGTGTTCGCCAAGTACAAATTATATTTGTACACCTGGATGCACCACCCGCAGCGCCTAATATCCGATGTTCGTAGGGGCTTACGTCTATAATTAAGCGGACGTTGCCCGTCAGACGTATGCTATAAAGATAATTAAGCGATATTTCAGCATTACTGAATACTTAGGAATTAAAACAAAATATAGAGATAGGGGAATTATTGAAACCTGTGATTGATTATAGGATACGCAAATCTACCCTGAATAGCTTCAGTAGTAATCAATCGAAATTTTCAGCTCTTATATGCGGGCTCTCACGACGTACACCACGTCAGAAGTGATTAACTTGTAGGAGTGTATAGTCGCTTATAATTATTACATGAATTACGGTTTTCGGGAGTTATAAAAATACTATACTTTCGAATGCATAAATAGCACTGGACATTTTGTCCCAAACGCTCGTCATCGGGATCATCAAATCCACCACAGACAAGTTCAGAAGATGATCATCTGTGAGAATGTGCATCGATTTATGGCTTAATCCATGAAGTCAGATTTCTCACGAAATCCCTAACTGAATAATCGATTCACAAAATGATACGTATCGTGTCAATCTCACAGAAATTTGTCTCAGTCTGTGCGACTGACAGTAATAAGAATGTTAAAAAATACATGCCAGTCATATTTTTCATATATTTCTTTTCTGTTTTTCCCGTCGAGAATTATGAATATGGCCTATTAAACAACGCGTACAAAGCGCGAATTTGAGCGTACGTTCTTCGTCGTACTTTCCGCACGACGTGCTGAATAACAAGTTAAAAGCCTTACTGCTTTTAGTTATTTACCTTTACTTTGCTCCTATTCTCATGGTATTCATTGCGTACAATCGCAAGAGAAAAAGTCGATAAATTAGTATTTCGTAAGTAAAGAAAATTTTTTCATCACTTTTGATATAGAGATTCTGTATTATTTATTCGTTCAATACATATATCAATGAGCATAATTTATATTATGTACGCATATAACAATACATATAAGTAAATGGGTATATGTTGCCGCAAATTTTTTACATATTTCTTAGAATCAAAAGTACCGAGTTTGTCTTTCCGCCATGGTGGCTGAGATGAACGAAAGCGCACTCTGTAAAAACTATACGTGTGGCTTTCGGAATTGAGCTGAGTGTAAACGACTGTGCAAATACATATTTTAATTGAGATAGCATAAGAATATAAAGTTCGGCAGATCGGATGCTATTTTATATCGCTATCTTTGTCATAATCATACTCTATTGGAAATAATTTTTACGTAAAACTGTTGCACGTAATTATTTTTATCTTAAAATAGTTTATAAATGTCAGATTTTAGACACGTATAATAGTTACTAACAGTTTTATGTGCTAATAATAATTATATATAGTTATTAACAGTTATAAACAATTTTGGAAACGCATCTTTTTATTATAAAAAAATTTGCTATTAATAGCAGTTATGAACAGTTTTTATATCAAGTTCAAAAATGTAAATAATTACCATACGTTATCACCATACGTAATAATAAAAAATTATTTTAAACATATAATATTATTATCACTTAATTTTCTTCTCCTATAATTATTTTTTTCGTGTCTGATATTGGCAAATTAATAGTTACAATTAACTGCAAATAATAACTACTAATTTTTTATTCCATTAGGTAATTGGTGATAACTGTTATTTGCAGTTATTTATAGTTATTTGAATCTATTATTTCTCAAAATAAATTTGGTTTAGCGAATAAAAATGCAAATATGCGTTAGTGACTGAAGAAATGTGGTTATTTAATAATGACAGTTTTTTAAACGAAAATAACTCTTTATAATTGTTATACGTGTCCAAAATCTGAAGTTTATAAACGGTTATAAATTGTAAATAACTGTTAGTGAATGTTACTAACTGATGATTTCTATTATTATATAAATTATGCATAAATTATTTCCAACAGGATAAGATGATTGAGTTCAAAAAGACCGTCATATTTTTTGTTGCTTTCACTATTAAAATATAAATTTCTTTGATGGGGCCTTGCGAATGAAATGTATTGAATGTAATTTAATTTGAAAAACGTTTATCTATCCGTGCAATTCAAGCTATAGAAATTTTTTATGAACAGTCGCTGTTAAAAACTATCTAAATTATTTAAAGAAATAATGGCAGCAACTTTTTCAGAAATATTTTATTGAATTTTAGGACGAACTTATTAAGACCAAATAATTGTTGTAATTTTTAAGAATTATTTCTGTAGCTTTAATCAGACAATAAATATATCTGGAATATTTCAAAAAATTAATTGTTTGCTAAATTTCTGAATACCGCAGGAACTGTTTCCACAATGTTTCGGCACCTTTAGTTGCTGAACATTCAAGAATTTTTTTAAATATTCAATCAAATGTTCTATACTAATTTTCATTGCTATTTCATAGAAAAAATCGAATGATCTCTTATTTAATTTATAAAATGATATATTATATTTTTTCTATTGCGTGATTTTTTAAATAAAAAAAAATTAAAAAATATAAAGTAACAGGCAGCAGTTCAAAAGAGACGTAGGCATCGCTGCTACCACAAAATAGCTGTACGTTTCGTAACCCATATGATAATTCTATTGTAAGTAATAGGCCAACAAATATCGTTAAAATTATAGGTAAATCTAAATGCGATCGCGAATCAATAACAAAATTACAACTGTTTAATTTATCCGTTATAATAGGTTTCCTCTAGTAAGCTTACGAAAGATCCTTTTTTTCAGAGCGCAATTCGATGCTGCACACGATTTCGAAATCTATATTCGTGATTAATCAAGTCGCGAGGTCATATGGCCATATATGTAGAGTCAAAGATATTGTTTGATTTGCATGCAGCCGACCTCTCGAAGACAAAAAATTTCTCCATCCCGTGCGAAAAAAGACTTTTTCCTCGCATAAGCCTCGATAATCGACGGTGCATCAGGTTCGATTCGTAATCAGCCACTCGTTATACGCGTTGCGGTATACCAGCGACGCGTTTATCAACATGATTTATACGCTTGGCACCATTACACGGCAACTGTTTATTTTTATCGGACTAAATTACTCATTGAATTTTCTTCTTAACGAGTATGATTTTTCCTCTGTTTTCTTAACGAGTCAACCATATTTCGCCGATTCTTTAGCTAGAAATAGAAGTACAGTCATTCTGCATTGCATATGTCAGCAGAAAATGGACGCCAAATACCTACGTTCAAACTTGATATTGAGTAGCTCGTGCAGGTAGAAAAAAGAAATCCTTTTCCGTCGTACACGAGCCAGTGTGGAGAGGAGGTGTTCGCGTGAAAAGATAATCGAACGCTGGTAGCTTTATTATCCAATAATATATTCAATTTCACATATTGTTTGCAAAATGTCTTATTGCGTAAAAACTGAACTGGCGAAAGACAATAAAATTGTAAAAATCTACAAATCCAAGTCGATTGGAAAAATATTTGATTTTCGGTACGCGTACATCTGCAAAAGGAATTGAATGCGCTATCCAAAGAAAACGTACGAACAGACAGATTGGTCGTGTCGGATAATCTCACGACGAAATAATAAAGAGATCTCAGCGATATACTTGATCGGCAACAATCGAGTCCTCGAGCACGATGAAAGTCACCTCGCCGCTGTACTCTTGCTAAAACAACAAGCTGTTCCATTGTGCCTCCTGACTGAGCCGCTTCTCCTTAATCATTTACTAGGCTGGCCTACACGAGGACAAAACATTCATTTCCTTATAGAAACCACGTAAAAATTGATAAAAACTCGTTATCTTTTATTGCACTACTGATTAATTGCCTACCTAATCTTGACGTTTTCAAGTAACACTTCATCTTACCAAATTATGACACTCAGCTTAGCTGTTCTCGAGCTTCCGGGTCAACAGCATAAAGCGCATCTTTTAATAACACATCAGTAATGAATGAGGCAATGATACAATGACACGGCAATCTACCGGTCATCGATATTTTGCATTCTAATAAGCGGTCGACTGTAAAACCCACGAACGGTCAACAATTTACACAGAATGCTTGTACACTTGGAGATCGTTGATAGAATTCTTATATGCGAGCACTTAAGAACATCGCGCCGATCGATTCATTAAACGAAATACCCGTAGGAAATGTTGCCTTCCATTTCAAGCGCAAGCGTGAAAATCGTTCGACAGTCGAGCGAAATCGGTGCTTGGAACTGAGGCGACGAAGCAGACAACAAAGTAGCTGTAGCAAAGTGTACGTGCACACATGGCTTCGACTATATATATATATATATATATATATATATATATATACACGCGGGTATCAACGACGATAAAACGAGAAAGCAAAAAGAGCGCAAGGCTCGCTCGAGTAATATAGAATAGGAAACGAGCTTTCAAGCAATCTGGCCGGCTTTGTATTGGTCGGGCGAGTGTAGAAGAGCCGCTTGGGCTTTCCGCTGACTGAGTCTCTTGGCCCTTTCCTCGGCGCCACACGCCAGCAGATTGCCGTGGAAGTAGTCCTCGATCTCGGAAAGCTTCTTGTCGTGGGTTTCGGGCAACTGCAACGCAACGCAGTTCAGTGCTGGGATTGGGTTTTCAGTGAGACGCGTGGAAAGCAGGTGGAACCGTGTGTACCAACCAGCAGCCAGACGTAGACGGCGGCGCCGATCGAGACTCCGGCGAAGAACCACTGGATCGCGTGCGAACCACCCACCAGCCAAACCAATTGCCTGTAGCTCTGAACGGCCGTGAACATGAGAATGTTGGCGATGGAGTAGCTGATGGCGTGGGCCAGCTCGCGGATCTCCGTTGGGAAGAGCTCGGCTGTCATGGTCCAGGGTATCGTGAGTAGGCCCACCATCGAGGCGCAGACGTACAGCAGCAGACAGAGCACTGGCACCTAAAACACAAACCGCTTACTCGATTGCCCAGAATTGGAATGCAGCAGCTGGCCGCAGCGGTCTGCCTACCCAGGTTGCGCTTCGATCGTCGTACAGGAGAATTCGCATGGTGAAGTAGCCGGAGACGCTCATGCAGGCAGCCATACCTGTCGAGCATTCGCATCGAGATCGATCGATCGATCGAGTGTGCGCAACGAAACGTAAAGCGGTCAAGTACCGATGGAGGAGACGATGCAGAGGACTCGGCGTTTGAAGCGCCGCAGCAGCCAGGTATTGACCATCGAGCAGAGGAAGCGAGTGACGCCGACGAGGACCGAAGCCAAGTAGGGGTTGAAGCCGGCGTCGATCTCCGTGAACCTGTAGCGAGCGCGCGACCGTTAGCACACCGGGGCCAAGCAAGCGCACGGCTGCCGGCCAACGAACCACGTGACGGCGTAGAACAGCGTGATGTAGATGCCGCTGAACTGTTGGAAGGCGAACAGCAGGAAGAGTATGAGCATGGGCTTCCAGCCGGTGGGCCTGAGGAAGGCTCGCAGCTTGCCGAGCGCGCCGCTGCGGTGGCTGCGCCGCTGCTCGCTCGATCTGATCGCGTTCTCCTTGCAGATGCTCGCGAAGGCCGACGCCTTGCCCACTTCCGGCTGGCACCTGTGCAGCCAGTCGATGGACGCGCGGGCCTGCTCCAGCCGAGCCTTGGACACCAGCCAGACGGGAGACTCCGGCACGACGAACTGGATGAGGAAGACCGGCAGCACGACGTACGCTATCGAGACCCAAGCCACGGTGCGCCAGTGCAGCAGCCAGCCCATCAGGTACACCAGCAGTATCCCCAGGGACGCCAGCGTCGGCCCCAGCGACACCAGCGAGCCGCGAAGCTCGGGCCGCGCCACTTCCGTGATGTAGACCACCTAAGCCAGCCGCGGCAAACGACATGGCGAGAGCATTCGCGGTCAGACCAAACTCGCGCGTGTCTCGCTTCTCCTCGTCCTCCTCGTCGAGCCACGACCGCGATCACAGCCACCGATTTTCTTTCGCAATAACGGCTGATCTCGTTCGAGCTCGTCGAGGAGACGACGCTTTTCCAACGAGCAAAGATACGACGCGTAGTTGACCGACCGCTGGGGACGCAGCCAGAGCTGTGGCCAAACCGGACAGGAGTCGGCCGATCAGGATCATGGTCACCGAGTCCGACATGGCTATCAATATCCATCCAAGGACGTACGGCAGCGCGCCGATCTGCAGCGTTCGCAGCCGGCCGAACGCCTCCATCAGGAAGCTGCCCATGAGCGCGCCAACCGGTGTCGAGATCACCACTATGCTCGCTGCGAAAGTAAAGCGCGCTTTGCACACGACCGCCGCTGTCCTCGAGTCCTAAGCCCCTTACCCATCCAGGAGGTCTGGGATTTGTCCGCCTTGATGTCGGCGTCGGCTGCTTCGAGAGCAGGAACGAGGATAGCCGAGTAGGCCATCATAATACCAATGCCAACGTGGAACGACGCGGCGATGATACAAGCGGCAATCTGCGCGTTTACGTTACGTATACGTTATATATAATAACACGACGACGATGGCTGATCCGACATGGTTACTCGATTTTTTAGATCGCTTACTTCTGGAATTGCAGTCTTGAGTCGCATGGGCTCGACGTAACCTTTGTTAAGACTCCGACTTGACACGATTGCATCTTTGAAGCACTCCCGTTCGTTTTCTTCGATATTCTTGGATGCTTCGCGCTCGACACTGTGGACAAAGTTAGATTTTGTTATGCCAAAATTAATGCTCTAACGACAGTCGGTGTTCGTTACAGCTTTTGATGAAAAACATTTCTGCTGACAAAAATGCGCTATTCATTTGTGCCGTGAAAAAATTCATTTCAATTATCAATAGCATTAGAATTTTTTTTGCAAAAATCGCCTTTGGACCCAAAGCAAACGAGCTATAAACGATGCCGCTCATCTCCAGCGTACGAAAACATAATTGAAAGACGCGCGGACTGGAAGAAATGCCAAGAAGCACGACCAGGTAAAGAACGAGAAAAAAGGTTGTTTACTCAAACGTGACAGAGAAACGTCAAATTGACGCGGTGAACGAGTCGAGTGATGTCCTTACAATGGAAACGGTGTACGAGCGAAGCGTTAAATCTAGCGAAACGCATTGGCAATGAAAGCACTAAACAAGATCATCCGTTGTCGAGATGACGAGAGAAAAGCTGTAAATTAGCCATTTGCGTACAGGTGCACCAAGCCTACTCTTCCGCTATTGAGGATAACACGACGAATTCCATCAAACAACCGTGACTTCTTTCCGTTTCTAAATATTCAAAGTGCGCGCACGATGTTAATCTTGTGACAATCCTCTTCGTGCCAGTGAAAGCGTTCGAATCCTACGGTAGCGCTGGCACCATCTTTCGGTACACGTTGGTTCACTTTCCATCCAAAATTTCGATCTTACCAGAACCTTCAAAATACACATATCTCATCTAACGTAAACTTTGCAATTTCATTAGTTTTCGGTTTTTATGCGATACTACTATATGGTTTTCAAGAGATTTTCACACGTAGATCCTAATTTCTGGGCAAATTAACGTTATTTCGATTTTTTTCCCAATTCAAAACAACCGTGAAAAATCGCCTATTTTTTTCCAGCCGAGTTTAGGATTTTTAATGATAAAGTAAAAGTGTCACAAGAATGCGTGATAAGGGGCCTCCTCCATCTTAATAACTATGCTTCTAGTATCGTATAGATTACGGAAAGCCTTCAACCAAGGGCATGTACTCAAGTTGAGAATATTGCGAAACCGCACTACATCGTGAATTGCGATGTTCGATAATAGGCAAATTTTTAGATGAATGATGTTATTCTTCTGTCATTTTTTACTATAATAGATTAATTATGTCACGTAATTCATGCATATTTTGACTGACATTTCAAGCCATCAGCCTGTCAAAAGTGTATTCTTTTGATAATAGAGTGATTATTTGGTGAGCTCCAATTTGCATATTGAATCAATATTGAATTTGTGGATAATTTTCTTATGTGATAAAAATTATTTTAAAGAAAATATAGCTTTGGAAATCCGGTAAACGTGATAATTTTGTTTAAAAATACTCAAGCCGTAAAAATTAACAAATACGATTATCCATTAAGTAGAAAATTAGAAATAAAATATATGAAAAAGTGATGAAACAGCTAATGACGGTGAACGACGAGAAAACGGGAAATCATATTGCACAAAACTGGGCAATATCAAATAATGAAACAGTAGGACGAGGAAATGGCTCAGTCAACAGTTTAGTGATTTTGACGCTTGCTGCAATGCATCCAATCATTTACAAACAACGATTGTTTCCCTTTCGGATTATACTAGTAAGCCTTATGTATCCGTGAATTTGAATGGCATTATCTATACATATTTTACTGACGAATCATCTACATCTGCTATAACATTTTATTATTTAATTACATCACGTTACGATGTATTTTGCCAATAATGAAAAATTTAGTTTAATTGGCGCTTGCAACCTTGTGGTAATTTTAATCTAATGTATAGAACGTTACGTAAGTTTATCGATAATCTTGATTATAAAAAGTACCAACGCATTAAATTGAAGGCTGTAAAGAGACCCTACGTTTTATTTAGCTAGTATATACACATTACATAATTCTTTTAGTTTGTTCTCATTCGCAAGTTTCGACAACTTTTGCCATTTCAAATTTTCTCCAATCATGAATTGACAAATTTGTAATACACGAAAGTCCTTAACGTTCGAAAATGTTCAAGCATTTTTTGTAAATACTCTGTTACAATTTCTAATCATCGGGAGATGAGAAAAGGATAACAAGATTGGGATTAATCAAGAAAAAAGACGACCGAGTAGATTGAAAAGTTGTAATTATAACACTGACAGTATTAGGAAAACGCGAGCTTTGTGCAAATATCTTTAATCAAAGCTTACCTTAAACAATAAGGATCCATATTGTAGTTCAACAAAAATACTTTCACTGCCTAAAATAAAACTAGTTAACTCTATCGGTTAGTCCGTAACCTTGTCAGCTTCGTAAAAATGTCCTTTGGTCACCCATTGTTTTTCCTCTGAAATAGAAGCAATTTACTAAACTATATTTTTTTACGAACAATGAAAATCGAATTCCACGATGCTACGTCGACGAAGCATTGCATTTATGCTCTCCATGTAGCCTATCTATATTCGTTTTTGATGTGACGTATAAATAATATTTTGATTCTTTCATTTCATAAATTAATATAACTAATATGAAAACACTAATAGAAAGTTCAACGATCAGATGAAAAAGAAAACAAATCTATTCAGAAAAAAATCCGTTAATGGATACGAAATTTACAAGAAATTAATGCTAGAACAGCTTTGAAAGTTTAATATTTAAAAATCTCTTATACATTAACAGATGATTCATTATTTACAAGTAGAAAAGAATTTGCTTGTGAAAAATCCGTTGTTATTACCGATCTACTAACGATTTTAAATATTAGAAAAAACGTAAGTTACATAGATTTGAACGTCAGAAATGACAGGCATAATTGCATATTCTCGTCGATTGTTTTCTAACTTTCAATTTTGTTTTTAAACGAATTACATTATTTGTAATTCGAATAAGCATAATTGAAAACTTAACGATTCATGCTTAGCTGATAAAGCGTAATCTTCGGCCACAAACTTACTTATTTTTCCGTTTGACGCAATGTCACGCGAAATAGTTTGTCTTTTTCCCAAATAAATGACTGTTTCGGTATGCGAGTGGACACGGAATTTTTTCGCTGGCATAAAAAATATTTGAAACATACGGCAAAACGAAAAACGTACACGAACAAAATATTTGCGCTTCGCTTTTTTTTCTCCAAGACCAAATTTTTACATAAAATATTCCGTTTGCCGTTATTCCAGCGACACTTTCGATTATAACTATTCTGCTTCGTCGTTTCAGTTATTTCATGTTTATATTTCGTTCACTTTTGAGCGTGTCTCTTTATAATTTTGGTTGCGCGTTGTAATTATAGGTAGTCTACCTTTGCGTTGCTATAGAATTCGTTGAAACGCGTTGAACATTGAAAAAAAGAAATAACGCGCTCTTGCTAATCCTAATAATTTGCTATTGCAAGGCTGAACGAATGCTTGGGCGTACTCGATGTTGCAATAAAGAATGGGAAAAATGCAAAAGCAGAACAATACGTACATCGTAGCGTCTAGTCGGTACAGTTGTATCGAGAGCGAAGAAGCGAGAGAAGGTGCAACGAAATGCGGTTGCTCAGGAAGGAGAAGCAGAACTGCGAGTGCGCTTTTCGCGGGCATCCGTCGCGGGCGGTCAACGCAGCTCGTTATGTCATTTTTGCAGGCGAAGGCTATTTGCCCGTGTCTCCGGGGATCCGACGTTTGCTCGACGAGCGCGCTCACGAGATCGCAGACCACTCGTGGACGAACCGTTCGCGTGGATAGCCTACTGCACTCGTGCCATTATTCATAGCATCCCGAACTGTCGTCGTTTTATTCCACTCTCGAACGAACGATTACAGCCAGCGATCCGAAGCTTACCACTAGACTTCATCTTCGGAGGTTGCTCGAGAATAAATCTTACAAGTTTTGCAGTTTTTTTTTAAATTGCCGAGGGATTAGAACGGATTTGTCGGTATCGCCACTCTCATCGCACGCCAATCGTCATTTATCAACAAATCTTTCGAATGTTTCATTTTTCCTCTCGCAAGCGCTCGAGTAGCCTGATAACCAATCAAGTTCTGCGTTACACACTCCACGTTTGATTATTCAATGATTTTTTATTCAAGTGGTAGAGCAGTTTGAGAAATAACATTGAAATCGCACCGATAATAAAGGAAAATGTATAGAACTCGCGATCCTTTAACGAGGACTCGCTGTGAGATCAGCACAGGGCAACAAAGTTCTAAGTGAATAATATAAGATAAGTACGTTTGTATGATGCGTGAAACTTGAAATTGAAACGTATAACTGCACCAACTACGAAGAGAGAAAGCTGTCGATTTTCTTTGGACCGTTGCGCGAAACGAGCCGTAAGATCTGGAGTGAGAGGTAAAAATGATCGGTGATCGATTGGAGGTGAACGCGGAGCAGCTCTAATAATACGCAGGTTAAGGCCAGTCACTGCAGAAGAAAGAAGAACGCCGCACGCAGCCGAGCAGCTACCTGCGCACTGGATTTGGAAAGCCGACGCCACGACACGCAGTCGTCTCCCTTTGTCCCCTTGGCACTCCTTCGGCGCCGCTCCTCGTCGGGTGCAGAGCTCTTTGCTTTGCGCTCCAACGTCGTCGCGTTGGGTTCCCTTCCAGAGCCATTTCATTGTTCCGAGAACGCTCGAGTTCTCCATAAACGAGTCAAGGATTTTCGCAGTCAATTTCAAAGATGAACACTTAATTGTTCGCGCACGTTATTCTCGAGCAGCTATTTATGCCTCCGCCAGTGATATTTTCGCCCGGAGCTATTACGGGTTTTACGTTTTCCAAAGTAATAGCTGGCGAACAATTACTGCTAACGTCATTTTGGCGCTGGAAGCTCGTTGCGCGCGATAATTAGCGTAAATCAAGCGAAAAATAAAATCAGCCGCGTAACTTGCGAACGGCCTTCAGGAGGAAAACACTCGGGAGTTTTGCGGATCTCTGTACCTTGCTGAGAGCTCCAGCAGACAGCTTGACGCCGATTTCCGCTTGCGCAAGTGCTATCGGTGCCGGCGTTACGTTACTTGCCTGCTTCTGCCGATCGGCAACTGTCGCTAGGACATTCGCAGCCTCGCGAAGGGAGAGCGCCGCATCGCTCGATGCGAGCGAGCAGCGCCTCGACCGGGCCGCGACTGCCGCGACTGCCACGATTTCAGCGCCGTCGTCCCCCGCGAGAGACCGCGAACGATCGCTGCTCGGCTCTGTCGATCTTCCTCGCCGACGAATCGTGCGCGGCGCGGTAAAATGCCACTCCTTCGACCTCGTCAATGTCGTGCTTCGATATTTCTTTTCGCCAAACACTGCCAAACTTGGATTCAACTCAGAACCAGCGAATGTCTATATTCAATAGGATATTCCTATCTCGTCAACGGTAAAACTCCCTTTTACCCTGTGTTTGTCAAACTCTCAGCACGTCGCGCGATTAATGGCGCAAGACGCAAACGCGGGCAAAAAATATTTGCTGCAACGTCGCATTAAACGCGCAATGATTCCAAGTGCGTAAATGCATGTAAAAATAAACTCAATTGTAATACACGATTGAAGATTGTAATTAGTTTTTTTTTTTGTTTGTTCCTTTTTTTTTTGCTCGAGCACAGAAACTGCCGTTTAGTTACAGCGCCTATCTCATGTAACACGGCTCACACAGAGCTATTCGCACAAGTGATCCCTGAGAAGCATTTTAATCGACAACCAAAAACTGACACTTCGTGCGATATATTTCTGCGTACTCAGCTTCTCAACGCAAATGAGAGTTTACTTTTCACGCGAACAACGTATATGATTAAGTTGCAGGTAGAGTCAGTGACTTTAACTATGACATTTATGCCAAAGTACCCTCGAGTGCATTGTCACTATTTTTTTAATGAGTGTTCAGTTTATAATGTCAATCAGGAAACAATCATGGATTTACTGAATAATGTATTGTCTGTCTTAAAACAGTTAGTGAAGCGATGGAGACTCATCAGGGTGTTATCGTTATGAATCATGGAGCAGTTGAAAAACTGGTAAAAAATGCGACGTCTAGCATAGACGAATGGCTTGTGCGTATATAATAATGTCTGCTTTGGTGTAAGCCACAGTTATAATTTTGTTTGCGGCTCTTTAAAACAGTAAAAAACTAGATGGAGCGATAATACTGAAAACTGCGCAACAAAAGTTAATTGTTCGTAAGAGTAAATTTTACATCGCTATTTTTAGAAATTATAAAGTAAAACTTGGAACTAGCACATTTTATCGGCTTATCTGTTATTTTGAGCTCCAATTGAAAATGAAACTCGATCGAGTCTAAGAAAACACTCGGAGACAATAAATCTGCCGTCATTCTAGAGAAGTCTATAGAGGTTGAAATAATATATCCGCAAATTCTTTCGCACGATATCGCCATATAATACTTAAAGATGCTCGTGGAATCATTTTCAATATAGTTGATACATTTCTTTTACGAAACCGTCTTCTATCGCTTTTAATTAGTTGCATCTGATGTTTTTCACCTACAATATTGCATACATCGTGATCGGAATATCTGTCAAATCGGATTGTTCCATGTCTTAATTGCATGCAAACGGTGTAAGTAAATGTTTTGTATACATCGATAAAATGTAAATCACCTGAAAATTACGTTTCTACGCTTATGCATGTTACACGATGCTGGGATTTGGAAAATATTTCCTTGGCCGATGATTGAAATTCGATTACATTATGAAAACAGAAAATTACTCTTAATATAACAGCTTGTTTTGATTGAAATTCGAAAAAATCATGGTCTCGTGAAATTAAAAAAACCAATTCATTTATCTTATTTTCCACTAGGATCAGCAACGCCGACCGAATCATTATGCTTTTTAACAATTGTTTGGCTCCGAAATAATGATATAGCGAATGGCATAGCACACAAGTGAATTTTTATGAAAAGAGAAGCTTAAAAAAATTGTTTTAGCACACAAGCAACGAAGTAGAACTTGAACGACAGAATAGCCGTACGCGAAGTTTGAAAGACTAGAATAGGTCGTTATTTACTGGGATGTAACGTGCTGCGTGCAGCGCATATATTACTGGTATAACAGTTATGCTCTATCATCGAAGCACAATAACGTGACATAAGTAAACTGAATGCAAGCGATTCTTTTCCATTTGATCGCTGCGATTAGATAATTCATGCGGATCATCGCCTGATATACAGGCGCGATAATTCTTTTGTGTAACTAGTGGCTCGGAGAAGCAAACTTACAATATCATCTTAGACAAGAACGAATGACAGAACAGGGTTGCGGTTATAATTTGACAACCAGTGACGGTTGACAATCGATCAAGTAACGATCGTTCAAGACGAGTTCTTCTTGCTACACAGCGCGAACTTGCGATTAGCGGGACGTACAGACTTTTACTGAGGCAATGTACCGATGATGACTGTGCGAACTACTGTAAGGAGAAAAGAGAAAAATAGCAACTCACGAGGAGCTAGCGATGGGCGAAAATGCGGTCGAGGAATTGGCGAAAATCAAGGCTGCAGGCAAATCAAGAGCAATGTTGCTACAATCCAGGGGCATAACGTACGCTAACCAAGCCTCCTCCGAGAAGCCTAGCGCGACTCTCTCGCAAGCTGTCCGCGATCCGGAGCACACACTGCGGCAAGCCACCTGCGTTGGTGGTAGTACTCACGCCTGAAAATCCATTCGCACGCGGTGTCGGGCTCGCAGACGAGTCAAGGGGGAGCGCAGTAGCCGCTATCCGGAAAACCAGCCTCTTTCTGGCATACTTTCGCAGAGAGCGTGAGACGGTGCGAGCGCCCCTCTGGCTTCCTCTTCCTCGACTAGCATCTGTCGCTCGCGGCTTTTGGCATCGGTCCTAAGGTCACCAGTCCGATCTCGGCCGACAATATCAACCGTGCCGTTTGTTTGTTTTGCACCGCGACGTACAGACGACTACGCTCGAAGTGTACGGCCAGTTGTGTACGCGCTCGCTCGACTCGTTTGCAGCTTTCGTTGGCTCGCGCTCCTCTGCGCTGGCTATTCTAATCTCAGCCGGTGTTGCGCGATCGCTCGGCAATTTCGAATTCGCGCCTGCCACTACGCGCGCGCGCGCGCCTTCTAACGATCGCTCACCGCCAGGTAACGTAGGTTCCGACTTTCACGCAGTGGCTCGTCAAGATGGCTGCGTGGAGCACGTTGCTGCGCTCTGCGAGTCGAAATTTCGCCAAAACTCGACTTTTAACACCGGCGTTTATTGTCCAAAATGGTTAGTCAACCATTTTCAACCTTGGCAACTTTGCGCTAAATTGCTTTTTCTCCGTCACCTCTCCTTAATGCCTACCTCACAGATCGTTATTTGCGTTATGCAATCATAGATAAAAGATCGTCTAGTATACAGTGTTTGTCATAATTGACCGAGTGATTTCTTGTGTTTTTATTAAAGTTATTTATCAGTTCAATACTCTGCCGTGAAATTTAATGCCAATCATTTTTCTTATGTTTTCAAGTGTCCTACACCATTTAGTAAACTTATTATTGCATTTACAGTTGGCATTTAAATTTATCACAGTAGTATCAACTGATTCTGTGATATGGTTTCTATATCCACAGGTGTACTTGTTATAACAATTTTTATATTATAAATGCAATATTTTCAGCTGCCATCCATCCAACTCAATTGCGTGTCATGTCACATAATATGGTCATTACTCCCACTAGATGGCAATGGGATAAGACAAAAGATTTAATTCATTTTTATTTCATGGTGATGGCTATACCATTGGGAATTATAACATTCTGTGCTAACGTATTTGTTGGTCCAGCAACTCTCACGGAAATACCAGAAGGATATGAACCCAAATATTGGGAGTATTATAAAGTAATAAGCTTATGTAAATATATAATGAACTTTCAAGTATATATACTTATAATCATTTATTTTTATATAGAATCCAATTCAAAGATTTCTTGCACGATATTTCTACAACAATCCACAGAAAGAGTACGAGAAAGGTATGGCTTACGTTTATAATGAGCAAGAAGTTATAAAAGTGAGAAAGTTGGAACACAAAATATCGGAACTAATGCAAAAGAGATTAGATTATCAATACAATTACTTCTTACCATACAACACCTTTCCGACTCGTGAATTTAGAGAAATTGTCAAACGTGATACAGATGATATGGCTTAAGTATCAATTGAAATGTTATGCGGGACAACTACCAAAATGTTGTGTAGTTTTCTAGTGATTTATTTGTTATAATACACGACGTAAAGAAATATAATTATTGTAAAATATTTAGAAAAATTTAATTTCAGATAATTACTTATTGTTTTACAAAGGCATCCATCATAAAATTTATTTTGTTTTTTAAAAGAATTTTCTTAAAAAATTGTATTATTTATGCAAGCATCAATAATATAATTTTTTTATATTACACTATATCAATTTTTCTTAATACTTGAATTTATAAATATATACTGGAAAGTGTTTTTTGAACTGCTTAATTGGATATTCATATTGGAATTGACAATTAATAAAATGTAATGAATAATGCCTAATCTATAGACTTATTTCAATGCATAATACTTTGTTTTAACAATTTTATAAAAAACAAGATTTAAAATCCCAATCTAAGAATATGTTCTACTTGCAATACAATTATAATATTATGAAATAAATGTAGACTTCATGGAGATGATTCCATGCTTTATTTCAACATATGTAAATATTAATATAAAACAATTAATTGTGCAACGTAAATACCAGTTATGTTTATTAAATGTAAACACGGTATGCATTAAAAGTAAATATGTTATGTCAAGTATTTCACGAGGCACTTAGAATATAATACGTGATGTGCTAATATTTAAGTAATCATTATGAGCAGCTAAAAATTTAAGAATTTTTATCAAAAAAAATAGAATTCATTCAATCAATTGTTAGAGAATAATCCAAAATAAATTGACATTATAATTGTAACTGAAGAAAATCTTAATTTAACACGAATATTTCATACGATTTTATTGATAAGGAGCTTTCACATTTTTGTTCTTGGTTATGTCAAATTTGATATAAAATTTTACACTGACATTTCGAAGTTGAAAACGGAAAACTTACGCATTAGTATGCGTCTACTGTGTAAGATGTCAATGTTGATACGCCCACGTGCGTACTTATATTTTTCTTCACATATATTGCTACTTATAAGCTTTATTTGATAATTTGTTTAGTAAATCATTAATTCTGATTTTTATCAAATAACTTGGAATATGCCTGGACATTGAAAATGCCGTTTTAATACAATATGCATTGAAATCCAATATGGCTTTTCTTAAGAAATGATTTTTTCTCATATCAATTTGATTTATTATCAAAATATATGTTCGGATTTTCATTAAGTATTTAATTAATCAAGCAAGCAGTCAGTCCTCAGAAAATAAAAAGAAAAGCCTTGCAAATGCAGGCTATTTGAAATGGTACGATCAAACTTAATTGTTTGATACAGAGAGTTTGATTGGTTTCCATTTTCGATTTTTTGTAAACCTTAAAGAATGTAAGAATATTTAATGTTTGAAAAGATTAGTTAGACGTGTTACAAGAGACTGAAATGTCATTGGATATTTTACACAAAGAAAAATATTGACTTTAGATGTAGTCGAGGACAATGAAAAATTATTATAAAGGTAGACGCTTTATAAACAGTATAAATATTTTTTTATTGATTGATAATGATTTGTGAAAATAATTTTTTTCTTATTAAAAGTATCAAGTGATAAGCTCTCAATCTCTTCTATGCACATTCCTATAGAAACAAACTATCATAAGCAAAAATCAACCGAAGCATTGAGCTAAAAGAAAGCTCTTTCCATTAAATTTTAGTGATCTATGTATACAAGGGATTTATCCAGGCATCAAAGATCTAGAAAAGGACTAGATGTTTTGTTGTCATGAGGGATACCCTAAGGATTTGTAACATCCTGCAGGTGCTCGAAAAGCTGGTTACGATCGGAAAAAGAAAGCTGTCATTGGTGTAAAGACGAGCAAACGAGGAGTCAGAGAATCGCATGCATTAGATTGATGACAATTTTCCATTGCGGATATATTCCAGTGTTTTTTATCGTTTAGGTTCGGAGTTGATAAGACAGCCATGCGCGACTGCCTACGTCTATATGCCAGGGTACCGCACAGTGGCAAACATGCGGGTTTGCTAAAGCTCGGTCTTTTTCCTCAAGTTTGAAATCAGATGCCCGGCAAGCCTTGTTTCACTACGAATGAAAAGTATGCTAATGGGTCATGAGAAAAATTAATCCTTAGTGCAACGTTTCGATGACGATCGTTGGCTATCGTGTGGACGAGCGTGCCCATGAATTAGCGGCGCCCGTTTGATCGTCGGATGAATTTGATCGTCCGAAGGACCGCGGAGCGAGGAAACCAGCAGCAGCAGCAGCAGCAGCAGCAGCAGCAGTCCAATTAGCGGACGCGACAAATAAGGCCGAGGCGGAATTGGCCGCAGGCGGTAAAGGTTGCGTCGGAGGATCGCCAGCTTATCGCTCAGGCCTTCGCGGGATTCCTCCTACTGCTGGCGCGGCTCTGCTGGCCCGCTATAATACTGGCCCAAGTCGGCCGAGTCGTCAGTCGTCGTGGTGGCGGCGCCGCTCGCTCTCTCCAAACTCGTATTTCATCTTTGCCGCTCTCCCGCTCTTGGTTGCGCGCGCGCGCGCGGCTCGATCGCATCCTGGAAGCGCCTTGCGATTCACTCCATCGTCGCCGCCCGATCCCTCAGCCTCTACGCCACGGAAGGTCAGTATGAATTTTTCCGCCTTTTACCGTCGCCGCTCGAGCCCTGCCTCTCCCATCCCGTCCCTCTTCGCAAGCTCCTTGCACGTCGCCGAAACGAAGCATGTCGAAATGTGGAACGACAGAGCGCGAAAACTTGGCCAAATAATGGAGAGCAGGCGTGTTGCCTGTCGATTTTTGTGACGATTTCGAAGGCTGCTCACGCGCTGGCTCGACTTTATGAAGTGGCCAACGCGTTTACGGTACCTGCCGACGTCGTCTTCGTCGTGGATCAATTGCGATGCACGTGCTCGCGCCGTGGTACGGCGACACCGATCCGCACTTTGTCCGTCCGACCTTACGAACCCGCCTTTTTTTTCTTAGACTTAGTTTTCCGTCTCCTCTTTTGCGAGCAGCCGTACCAGTTTTCACAACTATTTGCAGTCCGAGTCGATCGGCTATAACATCTCTGCCTTTGAGCTTTTAATTTTTTGCCAGCATTCCATTTCTTATTTCCAATTTTTCATTGCGTTCTTTTATTTGGAGAAACGCCGTGAGTGAAAATCCGAATGCGATTTCGAGCAGTCGCTTTATTCGTATGCCAATATCGAAAAATCGAAAATCGTCAACGTCAAAAGATGAAGAATAGAAACAGCGGTCGCGAGCTCCACAGAGTAACCAAACTTTATGCATTATTCATGCTCGGGAGCCAGGTGTCAACGACACATCGAAACATAAGTCCACGTTATAGCTGTCAACAAGGAAACAGCGTTAAGACTTGTGCTCTTGAAAGAATCTGTCGAAAGTTCCGTCGCGTCCTTGACAAAGAATCATCCGTTGCCAGACCCCTGCTCTTCGTTCTCTTTCCCTTTCGTAAGTTATTTAGCTTTCCTGCCTCCAAAGTATCTTGTAGTTTTTTCTTTTATTGTAAAACCACTTGTGCTTTTTACGTGCCAAAATTGCTTGCCATTAAAAACTTTCGACGGGTAAGCACCTATCATATTTATAGACTGCTTCGTTGCTGCATTCAAACACATAGTCATCGACCAAATTTCTTTTTCTCTTGGTATTCTCTCGCAGTCCTAAAAATTCACGTTACTCTCTCATATATTTCCTTATTTATCTTGTTATTTTTTTAACTCCCACTCAATATCATTCCCGTTTGACCATGGAGATAAGGCGATTTTCTGTATTTTGCGAAATTCGGGCTTTCAAATAAACTTGCATTTTGTTCTATAAACTTTAATACTTATATTTTGTTGTGATTCAGCCACATGGGCGCAATTTTACTTTGAAATTGACTGTCAATTCCAATTATTTTGACATTGATTCTCTTCGCAGTGTCGTAAGAAAGGTCTCTTACATATACGATATAACAATTTTTTTTTGGAAACTTTTGTGACTGCAGACCAATCTTCAATAACTACTTGCCTGTTATTTTCACGCTTGACTAAATGAAACGAGGGTTGGCATTTTAATGTAGCGCAAGTTCATTCATTTACTAGTTAATGAACTTGTGAATCACAGTAAAAGTCTATCGGTGATAAGTCATTGACACAGTGTACTGCTAATAAAAGAACGCGAAGACTTTTTCAAAAACAATGATTTAATGATTGATAAATAATTTTATAAAACATCCGTATGAATTTTTTAGAAATTTCTTGGCGCACAGAAAATACCCTAAGGATTGCAATTGACACGATGGAGAGAATGACTGTCTCGAAATTTTTTCTGTCAATCGGTATCGCACCAAGGTGAACGCGCGGTAACTCGCTCATTCACCGATTCCTAGTGGATTACACGTTCAAGTACTTTTTTACGTATTTACAAGTTGTTATCTCGTATTTTCTCAAGTTAAATTGAATCCTGCATATCACGTGGAGTAACATAAATTGAAGCGACAGTGAAAAACACGCATAAAGGTAAATTGAAAATAAAGTGCGAGGCGGGTGACTAATTATTACGACCGACTACGCTTTCGTAAAATTTGAATGGACGCGTGGCGGGGCAATCAATGCTGATTGCAGGCACAATTGGCCGGCGTAAATCATGAGAAAGCGAATAAAAGGAGAGGCGCGTGCGCACGGCAGGACGGAAGGTGACCGGCAATGGTTTTTTTTTTTTATTATTCAGCAATGGCGTAACCGTGGCGCATCAATGTCGATCGGCACGCAGCGCGTTCACTTTCTGTCGCAATTGTCTCCTCTTCTTTGCCAAGAGAGGTATGTCTCTTCCCATATTGACTTTGATTTCGTATTCAAAGACATCAAGAAAATGTTTGCTTTCGCGCGATCGCCAGAATAAAGAACCGTTAGTCATTGGACTTGTCGAGATGACATTCGCCCGAATACATTAATTGGACGGAGGTATAAAAGAGGATTTATAGAAATTTGCTGCCTATGCTATCAAAATAATTTCTTTTAGCGAGCATTCAAACGGCCAAGCGCGTTATTTACTTTAATTTGGCGTGAAAGAAATTAATCGGTGCATCGACCGGACATCGAAGAATGGGTACATCTATAACTCTGCGTTGAGCTGTCGTTTTCCCCGTACATATCGATAAGCGAGAGGGCGGAGATTTCATCCAAACGGTCATTGCTCGCAGCGAGAATTCATCAAAGTCGACCGAAAGACGCAAAGATTAAAACAACTCTACTTTCGGCCAGGGGCCATATAATATGATAATTTCGGCTATAAGCTGACTTTTGCGACACGTACACACCTTGAAATTCTATACTTGGAGGTTTTCGTATTCGTATGATAATTCACCACCGCGACGGCTTTGTTTTTTTCTTTTGCTCGCCTCGCTTATGAATCACCTTTCTTTCAATGTTCGACTCTGGGCGGTTTCGAACTTGATTTTATCGTGCGATCCTTTTATTGAAATCCAAACACGAGCGATCATCTGGCACTTTAACAGGGTTTGAAAAGTGTGCGTACGCGATAAAGGCAGCTTCTTTCGGTCCGCAGGTCGAAAGGATGGATACAGGCGCATCAAGGCTGAGAAGCGGGCTGGTAATAGCCTGCTGCTTTTTATTGCGGGTAAGCATGTCACGATACGAACGGTAGTCGCAACGACGGCCAATAACAGGCGAAATAAAATCGCGAAGCGAGGTAAGACAGGAGCGGCCGATGATCGTGAATGTGCACTTGCAGTCGACGAGAGATGCGGCAGTGCTGGGCCACGGCAGGCTAATGGATCCGCCGGCGCGCAACAGCATGTGGCGCTTCGGCTTCCCGAATCCTGTCAACTATAACGACAACGAGTTGTATTGCGGCGGTTACTCGGGTTCGTCAAATTCTCAATTTTTACAAAGAAGAATTGCATTGATACGCAAGATGCCACGCGAAAATCTGAAAGTTTCAGTGCTATTAGGTAGCCAATGGGAAAGAAAGGGAGAAAGTAAATAACGGACGCTTGTGCTTTGTTCATTAGTGCAGTGGGTGCAAAACGAGGGTAGGTGCGGAATATGCGGAGACGCTCATCACCTAGAAGAGCCAAGGCCCCACGAGGCCGGCGGAGAGTACGCCAAGGGAACGATAGTCCGGCATTACCAAGTTGGACAGGTAAACTCTTTCCCAAGGAGTCTGTGCTTGGCAGCTGCCTTGCCAAGTGTGCTCCTTTTATCCTGATCTGGCACTCGCTTGCACTCGCTTGCACTCGGCAATCGTTTGACATCTCGAGAGCGCGTTGAAGGGATAAACCGGGCGCAACGCATTAAGCATTCAGACTGTGCGCTAAACTGATTTGTCGCGCAGGAAATCGACGTCGAAGTGGAACTCACGTCCAACCACCAAGGCTACTTCGAAATGTACGTTTGCCCGAACAACAATCCCAGGCGCGAAGCCACGCAGGAATGCTTCGACAGGTGAGACGTACTTGGTTTTTTTACAAGCCGACGACCACCTTTCGGCGAGCGTACGAGCCGACTGACTTTGCAGATACCCGCTGTACTTGTCCGGGACGAGAGAAGTGCGCTTTGCCATACCGCCGGATTCCGATAAGAAGGCCATTTTCCGCTACAAGGTCGACCTGCCACCTTATCTCACGTGTAGCCAGTGCGTGCTCCAATGGACGTATTACACAGGTAAATTCGAGCGTCGGCGCTCGCTTTCATTTTCGGAATACGGCCGATTGATCGCGAGCTGTTACGATAGCCAACATGTGGGGAACTTGCGAGAATGGCACTGAGGCCGTCGGTTGCGGTCAGCCGGAGACGTTCAGGAATTGCGCCGACATCAGCGTAATCACCAGCGCCGCCGGCTTGCCACCTATTTTCGTGCAGCAAGACAATCCCTTCTTGCTTTACTACAGAGATTACGATGCTCCCAGCCACGTCTTCCCGCTTGTCGTCAGGTGATTTCTTTGGCTTATCCTTTGCTGCTCTCCGATCCTGAACGGTCGCCGTTGCTTTTGAAAAAAAGACACCGAGTGATCGATCGGTCTTTCCAGATCTCAGGTGTGCCTGCCGAATGACCTCTATCGTCGCATACCCGGAATGACCGACTGGTGTCAAACCAACTGCCTTCGCTATCCTCCAAATTGCCCTCGGTCTATCTGCACCTGCCCGTAAGTTATCGCTTTCGCGTCCACTCGACACTCGTCCTTGCCGAGCCTCGAGATCATTGCGACAATCGACTTTGCAGAGAAACTTGCGAAGCTATTGGAGAACTTGCCGGAAGAGACGGAGCAGAGGAATATTGCCTGGACCAGTGCTTGGTGTATCCGAGCAAGTGTCCCAGCAAGCGATGCCGATGCCATTAATCATAGCGATGACTATTGGATTCAATGTGATAAACATAGACTGTAATGTCGGCTGAAATGATTTTTTTTTTTTTTTTATTACGCGTGACTTATTCAGAGCAAGTTTCAGCAACACTTAGCAACCGGCGAAACGTAAGTTTGCTTTTCAAATGTAAGCGACCGAAGAAAGCATTACCAATTGATCACAAAGGCAAATCAGTGCGCGATCACTGCTTTGCCGCCCGGTGCGCAATGCTAGATACGAATGAATCAGTCAGATAGCTATCAAATTGTAATCGATGTCAATAAATGTGTACCTTTCCATTTGCCAATTCGTAACTCGTTGTGTTTACGTCCAATCTCGAAGACATTAACGGACGAAACATGCATCGAAAGAAATAAGGAAAAATCGCGCATTCGGACAAATTGAAGGAGAAAACGTAATGCGCAGCAATTAATGGCACTATTTTATTTTATTTTAGGACATTCTATTTGACAGCTTACACATCGATGCATAAGTGACGTATTATCGCATAATGCTCGAGCATTGATGAATAATAGCCCAGTATGCATGAGCAGTTTGAATGAAACAATCGATTATTATTAACGTATCGTTTCGATATAACAGTTTTGTTTGTGGTAATAGTTGTCATCTCTCGCTCGCACCCCCTTCCTCAAATATCATCTACGTTTGCCCGCTTTTTAAATGGCTTTTTTTAAATTGTCAAAGTCTCACTGTCCGTCGAGATAATATTCTTCTCGCTATCGTTCATAAACATTATGTAGTATCTTCGTAACATCGTCGATAAGATTTCTCAGAAGCGCCGACGATTGGGCCACCGACGCAAAAAAGGCGATCAAAACTACGTATCCTCGATCGCTAGTAACACTTTACAAAACTATATACACTAAAGCCCTTTATAATCTATAACGGTTTGTTTGTTTCTTTGTTTTTCACTATCTAGCTAGTAACATTTTTCATTTATGTCCGTATCTCATCGTTACTCTCATTACCGTTCGCTCAATCTTTCTCGCTTGCACTCTTTCTTTGTCTCATCGCAACTCCACTTCCCTTTCTTTTTTCTAATTTATCCCCTCTCATTTCACTCGTTCGCAGCACACGCACTTATATATCAACTTTTATACTGACAATGATCATCGTAATACAATAAATAATAATGCTTACTTGGATTTTAGTTGTCATTATAAATGTAACCATACAATAATATTATTCACAATACCGCTGTCGGAGAAACGATTTGAACGCACCTGAAAAAATTAACGGACTCGACATACACATGGACATTTGCGCAATTGTTGGTTGAAACAAAGTGAACGTCTGATTTGTTGTCGATATTACCTCTTCGTCTATGCCTCTTGATTTCCGAATTATTGATTTATCGTACGAGACAATTGTAACGTCTGTAGTTTCTTACAGGTCTCATTACCTCGTTAGCGTTCAAGATTATTTTCGAGCGCGTTACTCGACACCAATTTTAACGTATTATTTTTTTTAATCGTGTGTAATTACATCGCTTGCGTGAATTGCCATAACTATATATTCATAATGGTTATTATAATGATAATTCTGTTTTGCTTATACGACTATTGTATCAGTGCGCCAATCTCGTCCCTGGCACAGCCCCAAATCTTGACGGCATACACGATACGCATGACACAGCTCTCTACCCGTTTGAAGCTCATTCAAACGAAGCTTCTTCGACGACCTTGAAGAATTTGAAAGGCGAGAGACGCGGCATTGTCTCCTTGTATTCGTCGTAATTTGCTCTTTGCATTATCAGTACTACGTTTATCACTTTTGTCTAACATTCAGTAATAATCGGCACCAACTGAAGACATACCAAATGGCGCTCGGGCGACGTTAAAGCGCGGAAAGGCCGGCAAATCAGTTTTTCTTTTTTTTCGTTTTTTATATATATGTTTACCTCTACACGATCATCTATAACCCTTAAGTTTTAAGGGCTTTTTGAGTATATATTCACTTCTCAAAGTATGTCACTTTCTTTATTGTACGATCATTGCAAACTATTTTTAATGCTCGACGTAAAATATCAGCGGTGGTTTGTCTGTTCGATTCACAACACATAGCCTGCCGTACTAATCATCTTTACATTTTAAGCTGTCCATATATGAAAAGAACGCAAACCATACAATACCTTCACGTTCTAGCGCATAATTTACATTGTTTTTTTCTCGCGCGATCCGTCACTGCAATATGCTCGATCGTACAAATATTTTTACAAATTTTATATTAGCATCGGCTGTCGTTCTCCTGATAATCGATCGCGACCTGCAATCAGTTGTCAAGCACAAAGAATCTAAATTAAAAAGACCAAGAAAATAGGTAGACGATTAAAGCCTGAAGCACTGTGAATTAACATATAACAGTAAATGTAGCCACTGATGAGGAGCAGCCAAATTCGAATCCGAATAAAAGATATCGAGGCAACTTTCGAGCGCTTTCACACCGCGACCGCTAACGTTAGATCACAAATTTTCCTAAATTTCTTAATGTGCTTGATCAATTTTTCGTTCACGTGGTAACAAGCAATTTGCTCGAGTGCACGAAACCTACGTGTGTCCGTTTCACGTGGCAGAGTAAGATCATTCCTCTCTGCGCCTCGTCCGCGCACTGCAGAGAGAAGCTTCATCGAGACCGAGTGACTGCAACATCTGCGAGATACTCTAATGATTTTTTTTTTTTTCAATAATTACATTTTTGTATTGTTTTTCCAAACTTTTCTACGGTTCGACATTGAATCGGAGAAAGCGAGGGTGCACACTCAAGATGACCGTTAACACGAATGGGCGGGCGATAAACACATGTGGCTTTTCCCTCCTTGTATCGTCTTCATTTTTTTTTTTCGTTTTTCTGTAATATATTTCTTCAGGTACGTTTTCAGTCTTCCGATTGAACTATACAATTAATATTCATTTGCGCATCCACATTGAAATGTATTACGATTAATCATTAACCAACGCAATTCATTTTGTAATATATAAGATATATAAGATTCAATTTTCATTTTATTCTTTTGATGAATATTAAACACCTACAGCTTAGATTATCTGAATCAAAGGTAAATTATCGTGTGTGAGAGATAACCGTGTATTTGTACCAAATCATTTTGCCGACAACTATTGTAATTTATACATTGTATTTCATTTTATTTGTACGTTACAGAAGTTGTGCTTATTAGTTACGGCGGCGATTGATATTGATTGAAGATATTGCGTACAACTAAAATCTCAAGTTACTCAGAGAACACGGATTTTAACAGCTAATCGCTGAAAATTCCACTCAAACAATTGTATTAGATTAACCTGTCATTGAAGGTCTATCGTTTGTAATAGACTAAACTTAAAAAAAAAGTAAAAAATGAGAGATCAGCGATGGATTAATAAAAAAGGACGTAATTTACAGTCTTTTTTCAATGAAAACTGTCGGTGACATCCACCAAAGTATCATTCTTTTACGTATTCAATTAAAAGTGACTAGAAAAGTTATTAACTTATTGTTTCCTTACATTTTCAAGTTTGCGTGTAAATATTTACATATAAACTCAAAAGCTAGTGTACAATTTGATTTATTTACGGATCAGCCCCAAGTAGTATTCATTTAAAAATTAAAGTAATTTTATCTGAATTTATAGATTTCCTGAAATGAAGAATGAAAATAACTAAGTCACTCTTTATATCTAATGAACGGAACGCTCACCTTACTAAAAAGTCAATGAAGATACGAAATTAGCAAAATCAATGTTATGGATATACAACTGTTTTCACTGTGCTCTACATTGAAAGTATCGTAAAGTCTTGAGAATACTCATAAATTGTAACAAATTGACAAATTCGCCCGCGAAAAAGGCAAATAATCAGAATATTATTATTTTTCCTTTGTAAAATGCCTCGTGTAATCTTTCATTCCATTTCGGATAAGATTTTAAATACTTGAAGGCTTAACAAACTAGTAGTCGCAATAAGAAAAAAAAAAAGAGTATATTACAAACTTGTGTGTGCCCCCTCGAACTCTTGTATGTGCGATAATTTCTTGTTGCATAATATCATTTGGTACGACTTTACATGTATGTATATAATATATAACAAGTTCGTCTTCTTCTAATCACAATGGTTTTTTTTAAATAATAAACACGTATAATCAACGCTTGCTTAAGCGCCGTCTATCGCCTCGTCTTATATTTTTACTTAATATTTACGTACACTAATATTATGTCTTGAAAATTTCGGCACGACCTCTCTCTCTCTCATCTTTTGGATTGATTTTCCAAGCACTGGTTAACTTTTGCTTTCAAAAATTTTATGTTCACCTCAGTTATCTCTTCAGTTTAATTTTAGAACTGCTCAACGTAGCCTGGTCAGAGAAATGATCCAAGAAAAGAAGCGTGCCGGAGCCGCCGGTCGAACATCACTTTCTTCGTATGAATTTTTTGTCTTTTCGTTTAGCAGTAATGGAATTTTTAAACTAACGACCGCTTACATTTCTATTTTATATTTTTGTTTTTACATGATCAATAAGAACATTTAACTCAAGCTCGAATAGAGAGTATCGCTCTTACAAAGTACCTTATACGTATAATATACTTTTCCCTTACGCCACTAAACTCAAGTGCCTCGCAAGTTCTCTAGTTCAATATATTCTAACGCATGATTTTTCAGATCTTTTCACATTCATTGACAAAGACCAAATTGCCGTTAAGTATCCGCATGTCCATTTTCTAAGTTATGTCTTTCTGACTAATAAATAAATCTTCATCAAGTTCATCAGAACGAAAATAACGCTACTATTTTTATTTTACCTTGGATGTGGCATTTGTTTTATTTAAGTAGAATGCATTAGTTGTTTAATATTGTGCACGTTTTGCTTTACAAAGCGTCTTATCTTATATATGAATAAATAAGCCACTTGCATAATTATGTAATTTTATAATTTTATTATATATCTTTCAATATTAGCACATTGCATATAATCTGAAAATATTTAATGAACGAGCAGATGTTTCATTCAAATTTTCAAGTTTTATCGACGCAGACGGTTGTCGCATAGGAAATGTCGTGAAAGTTCGTGTTCATTTGAGATGTAAAAAGATTAGTTCTGCTCATATAATAAATAGAGAGAGAAAATACATTGCATTTCTGATATCAAAGTTTAATCGTTTTAATTGATATATCTGACTCGGATACATATATTATACACGCATAGACACGCGCACACGCACGCACGTTTTGAATTTAAGCGTATTACGATTTGAAAACTAAAATACTGTCGCGCAGCATCGTTGGCTTGATCGCCGCTGTCGATAGACTCTAGCTCCGTTTCTTGTCACAGCTCTTGTAAGGAAAGTAGACGATAGATCATAATAGCTACGACCAACACTAAGTTTACATTCATGTTTTGACAATATAGGAATGTCATATATACGTGAACAACATCGATATCGAACTAGAGAGCGTACTGAACGAATTCAGTACATCTAGCAATATATATATATATATATATATATATATATATATCTAATCGTATCACCGAGACGTAACTTTTCTTCGTGTTTCTATTTTATTGATTTTTCTATTTTTTTATCCATCAATTTACGACACGAGAAAAACTGCTAACGAGGATGTACTAACACTTAACGTACTTCGATTTACTCAAATATATGTTCAACGGAAACATGCAGAAAGACATATGGAACGCTACACGTGGTACGTCGAAATGCGATCCAGAAGATTGGTCGTTGGGCTCATTCATGACAGAATCTTCTGAAACGCACTTGTCAAATATTTCACTGAAATGTCGCCAAAATCACATCAACTCGCTGAATATGTCTATGACTTATACGTATCAATTATTATCCGTGCGCTTGTTTTTCGTGAAAAAAAAAATCAACAAAAACAACACTCGAACTACTGGAGTTAAGCTACAAAAGCTCGTGGCACTCTGACGACAGTAGCTAAACATTGTGTTACATACCACAATAATACTCTACATAGACGACGAGAATTACTTCTATTTCCGAAAGATGAATAAAAGACTTTATCGTCACAGACTATCAATCTAGTATGTTTTATCTTCAAAAAAGCACATTATTGATTTTCTGATACACGATAACTAATGTTGTTATTATTATTATTATTATTATTATTATTATTAAATCGAAATATATATGATTTGCAAAATTTAGCTTATGTTTTTCATCGTTACTTTGTTTTCTCATAAAATAGCCTCGTTTCGCATTTAATGAACTTGACGGAAAAATATCAATTTATTAGGCCATACTATTGCATCTCGCTCTGCATTTGAAATTATTGTGGTGTTCTTTTGGCTCTGTTTGACTTCTTCTTTACACACACATGCGCGCGCGTACACACGTTGTGCGTGTGTGGGTGTGTATTTGTAGGTGTGCTCGTCATTCAACACATGTTTCGAAGGCATCTCATTAAGATTTGTCGACATTTGGCTTGAAAAATGATCGTGTTATTAGACGAATGGAGGCTGCAACGCGCGGATACAAGTGTCGTACCGAGCAAGTGAACTGCTCTGGCTTGTTATAGGTACTACCGACTGAGATGTTGAGGCGCGAAAGTTTGAGGCACTCGAGTTTAGCAACGAGCACGAAGGAAAAGTGGAAATATCGAATGGGCAAAGTCGTTGCTGAAGTGGAAAGATGAGATAAGCACTTACAAGTAGCCTAAGGTCGCGTAGGTTTTTACATAGGGCGCGTCCACTCTACAATTTTCCCTGAAAAATCAAAGGATACGAGAGATTGAGTGAGAGATAGAGAAGAGATAGAAGCGGCAGAAGAGGGAGAGGAGCGAGAGGGTGCGGGTGAGGTGCGAAGAAGGGAAGAGGTGGGGGTGCAGCAGGGTAGCTCAGACTCACTCGTCTTCCCATGGACAAACTTCGTTAACATTATTGTCTCGCTTGTCTTGCGGTGGATCGGCCGAGTTGGCGGCCTGCTGGGCCTGCTCTTGCTGACGTTCTTGGCTCTGCTCTTGCGGCTTCTGGTCCTGCTGCTGCAGCTGCTCTGGCTGATGCTGCTCCCCGGGTGGGTCGCTGCTGCTGGCCGCCGCAGCGCTTGGCTCCTCGGCGACGTTCGCCACCGCCTCTCTCTTCTCGGCTCCGGCTCCGGCTCCGACTGCGACCACCTCGACGACCACGCTCGCCTCCTCGACCTCGGGCATGCTCTGCGCCTGGGTCAGCGGCTCGCTCATGAGGGCGCAATCGCTGCTCGTGTCGGGCGTGTCCGTGGTCGTCGGCTCCTCCTCGCCACCGGCCAGCTCCAAGTCCTCCGGCAGCTCGCCCACTATCGCGCTTATACTTATCAGCGGCGCCTTTCCCGTCGCGGGCCTGCAAACAGTATCGCCTCTTAACGATCGGCCAACTGGCAGTCAGTCTTGCGCGAGCCGTGCCATAGCTTCGACGAGTCTTCTTACGAGTCGAGATATGCACAACATTGCTAATCGAAAGCCAAGGGCCGTCGAACGAGTGGCCACAGCTCTGCACTCGTGGCTCGAAAGGAATTGACCTAAGCCGAAAGTGGAGCTACCTCGAGGATTGGCGGAGCTGCTCGGGTGGCGGTGGCGGCGGCGTTGCTCGGGACGACTCGACGGCGAGCGCGACGGGCTGCTGCTGGGCGCTGGCAGCGAGCAGCTCGGCCGGGCCTAGGGCTAGGCAGGACAGGTCGAAAGACTGCTGGGGCGAGGGGAAGTTGCAGGTGGACACGCTCGCCCGCGCGGTCTCGGCGAGCCGGACGCGTGCGGCGCCGGGCCCGCTGGCCGGCTGGGCCGAGCCGACCGAGTAGTTGCGCTGCACGGCTGGCGCTTGGTGGTGCTGGTGGTGGTGCTGGTGCTGCTGGTGCTGCTGCGGCTGCTGCTGCTGCTGCTGGCGTGGTCTCGGGCCCGGGCGCTGGCTTGAAGCCGGCGACGACTCGACGAGCGGGCCCTGCTTGCGCAGCCGCTCCGAGACCTCGGCGACGGCCACGCTCACGTCCGACGACGAGGAGCACGAGTCCAGCTGCGACGAGTTCTTGCGTGACGGGCGCTGCTGCACGCCGACCGCCGTCCCGCCGGCCTCCGACTCGGCAGACGGCGTGCGGCCCGACGTGCCGACCGCCGGCGCCGCGTCCCACGGGCACACGTCGTCCATGGTCCGGCCCACCTCTGGCGCCGCCTGCTGCGCCGCTCCGTCCCTGCGCGCCAGAAGCAAATCCATTGTGATTACGCACCGAGCTCGCTACCTCAGCCTACGACTCCACGGCCAATATTTAGATATCATTCACAAACAGCACACTGTCGATCGACATTGGTTTGCTCATTGCAGGATCACGTGCAATTTAAATTAATAGGGCCTGGATCTCGTCAAACCGCGCTCGCCCAAGCAAATCAGAATTGAACAACAAAATAAAGAGGCTCAGTGTAAATGTATCGGAGCAGTCTAAAAGAAGAGTTGTCGTTCGTTATCAATGAATGTCGTCGCTTGGCGAGCCGCTGTCCACTTACAAGGTCGATACAGTATAGGTAGATATCATTTGGGTGGTGACAGGCAAACAAGACATGTATTCAAGACATTGACATCGATTTCAAACGGAGGTAAATAAATAGTAAAATACCAAAATTAGATTGATTGCACAGGAGCAAGAGAGAGCGAGAGAGAGAGAGAGAGAGAGAGAGAGAGAGAGAGAGAGAGAGTGGGTATTCGATAAGTCCACTGAAAGGAGACAAAGTGTACGAGTTGCAGACAAGTGGATTCCGTTGAAACAAACCCGGCGAGGAGATACAGTAATATATAAATGGAAGACAATGCATGGAAAAAGAAAATTAGGTTCAATATAGATGTGTGTGTGTCAATAAGTCAGAGTACATTAATATAATCAACACCGAGGACAATATATATAAATAAGGCTCTGAGCATTGGAGCGGGGACTTACTGAACGTTGGGCGGACTAGGCCGTGAAGGTATCTTAAAGTGCAGATCTCCCCTGAAAATAGCGAATTCATGAAAACAAAATGCGCTTCATACACCTACATTTTTTCTTTTTTCTTTCGTTTCATTTCAAGATAGGACACGGCAAACCATGAGAATCGCGAATAACAATCGACGTTCTTTTTTCGTTACGCGAGATCCATTCGTGAGGAAAACTGCCTTTTGGTTTATTTCATTACAATCGTGGATAAAAAGCAGCTGGCGTGTCAAACATAAAAAAGCGTAACTGTCAAACGGCAAATATATTTTCTATTCTGCGGAACATCAACGAAGAATGTTGTCAAAGAAGAGTCTGGCTAAACGTTTCTAAGATTGAAAAGAACCTCTGGCCATGCGCGTGTGTGTAGTGTGTGAATGAGCGAGGCCGGTTGCCAGAAAGAACTAGCAGCGACGATGAAAGAGAAGAGGCTGCAGGGGTGAAAGCTAACGTCGTACCTGTAGGGGATGTCGGTGAGGTTGGATTGACTGTGCGAGTGAGGCACCCGAGGCGCTGCAGCAGTGTCCCGCACACCGCAGACGGCCAGCTCGTGAGCAGAGCCGGATAGGCTTCTGTCGCTACCTCTTCGTCTGCCGCCCATTCCGCTGGACACGTGGCCTTGCTGCTGCTGTTGCTGCGACAGACTACCGCTTGCCGGGGCCACGCTTGTCGATATCTTTTTCTTTCCTTGCCCGCCAAACGCGAAGAACCTGCATTGACCATTTACTTTCTGTAGCTTTTTTGATCTTCATACGCTTACTCCGAGCCTGCTTACCTTTTTTTCTGTAAAGGCTGTATGCCAGCTGCCATAAGATTCCGATAGTGATCCGAACGCACGAACCTCGGGTAACAGTCTTTCTTAAGAAGCAGCGTATACACGTGCTCTGCCGCAGCGTCGAAGGTGAATCTGCTTGGATTTTTCATTTCTTGGTGAACGCGCTCCATTGTTTTACCGTCTATGTTTATTTCACAAGGAGCTCCAGGTGCCAAAAATTCTCTGCCATTCAAACAAACATACTCATTTCAGACAATCCATCCACGTACCGACATTTTCTCAGCTAATGTACTTACCTAAAAATTTCATTTACTTTATCGTTTATGTATGCCTGATTGCTGTGTCTTAAATCTTTTACGGCTAACCAAAATCTTATGTTTTCGTGACTGTACTCCTTTCGCAAATAATTTGTAAACTCTTGCAAGCCTGAAAAGTATCGTTTTAGTTACTCAAACAAAGTTATTTCTTTATCGTTTAATCTAAGTCGCCTTGACTACCTGTTGGATCCGACATTAACTCTTCCATCGAGATGGCCCATCTTTTAACACGTTTTTCAGTAGGAACTTCAACCCTAAAGTCATAATTCAATTGCCAATAACAGCGTGAATTATGAGTCTAAAAGCATTTATAGAATATTACTACTTACAGAGAACTATTAAGCTGCCAAAATGTTTGATCATCTGTGATCCATGGATTGGAAGGTTGAGGTTGCGCCATCATAGGATCATACTCCATATATGTTTCGAAGTGCGTTTTAAAATTTTCGATAGCGACTGAAACTTTGACCCGCGTACGTGTTAAACTGTTTCGTAAAAAGTCCACCTGAAGAACGCTGAATTATTAATATGTTTGAAGAAAACTTGGAGGAACAAGAATGAATAATTGAATAACGAGACACTTGCCTCTCGCTGGAGATCGTTGAGGGTACGCTTACGGGGTGGACGCGGCAAACCGGGACGAGCTCTTGCTGGAATCGGTGCCACCTCGAGGCTGCTTGTACATCCTGGGGGTGGTCTGTATACTCTCCAAAAAGCCCTCTCTTGAGAATCGCCTACTATTTTATCACCTTTCTTACGCTCTTTTGACAGCCGCACCTGCATTTCAACAAATGTCTCTCTGTTATATACATTTGAACACAGATAACTTCGTATACATTTAAAACAATCGTTAAAAATACTGATCTTATTTCAAATTCGATTAACAATTAACGCGTTTGTAAATAATATCATTCTATTACCTGTTCCTCGGCTTGTGACTGGATGACAGTCCAACGATTCTGCAGATTTTTCTTCAAACTAGTAAAGGCCTCCTGTAATTATAAACATTGTATACGTTTCAATATTTAATGATACAAATATATTTTATTGGCAAATCTAATGTAGTAAAGTGTTCATGAAAAATATTTTTCTAGTAATTTACCATCTCGTACTCCTCCAAACCATGACGCTGCTTATTCCTTAAAGTACGTTTGGTCAAGTAAATTGCATATTCTATATTATCGGGTATTCGATGTTGCCATGGCCAGTAATAAGGTGACTGCAAAATAATGGGAATAATAAGTCTATTGTTTCAATTTGAGTCTTTGTTTAGGACAACGTAAATACCATTGAAGAATTGCTTTTTCAGTACTGAGTACTGAAATAAATTCTTCTCAATGTCGAGAAAAAGTTTTTTAATCAATAATAAAAAGTACCTGAAATCTGTACAAAGAGCTGTCATCCTTTACAGTAAGAGTCCTGGAGTCATTTACTGGGAAGAAATAACCATACTGGCACAGTTGATTAGCAATGTGGACCGCCTCTACTGTCAACATAATTATCTTTTTTATATCCTGAACTGAAGTGTGAATATGAATGCACAAATATGTATATGTGATAAGCTTAAAACATTCATGCTTGCTTTTTTGTACAGTAATCGATGAATTATTTTTTGGGAAATACTCAGATTGATTTTAATTGTCATTGCTTAAATAAAAATAAAATTTCACAAGACCTTATAGCTTATGTGACTTGAAAAGTTGTCCCATCCAATGATAACATTTTAACACTTCAAAATTTACATTAATTTTTATAAAGATACTGATATTGTCACGTTGGTAGTAGCTGTAAAATCATGAAATTCATTGTGAGGAAAAAAGTAAAAAAAGCAACAATCTTCATTGAAACTTGCTGGACATGAATGGGGTATATTGAAAAATAGCAGAAACAGCACATATTTGACAGTTGTTAAGGCAGCACATAATTGAAGGCATCCTCCTGGTTATTATTATCCATACCTGATTCTTCAATGTTTAGCCGTTCCATCAGCCACTCGATGAGATCGTAACCTGCAACACGCAGGTAGCCTATTGTAGTTTCCTGAGCTTGATGGCTAGATAAGCTTACGCCACAAAGCAGGTACCGTTGACACTCACCCATGAATGCTGAGGGGATCGAGGTAAGGAATTGCTTTTGGCTGCGCACGGGCACCCCATTCTCAGGGTCTTGCATCTCCCGCACCAGCTCCTCCATCTATTTACCAATAATATTGTGTCAGAGTGCAACAATAAGACTGAATTTGATTCATTCAATATGTTCAGAGTATAACATCATATTTTTTGCGTTTCAATTGTACAAGACAGTAGCATGCTGGACCAATATACCTTGTCGAAGGCAAAAGGCCTGTGAACGCGTGGCTCCTTCTCTTTATACTGTTGAACGCTGGAGGCCTCCATCGCGTACGAGGGGGCCCTCTGCGTCTCTGGCAGGAGCAGTGACGATAATGATGGTGGAGGGGGCTGGGGAGCTGGGCTGGAGACGGGCCTACCCGAACTCCATGGGGCTCTGGCCCCATCCCATCACTCCAGTCACCCCCGCATGCCCACTGAAATTCATTTAGACAGTCCAAACTTAATCTTGGATATATATTGACAGAAAATGGTTAATTGAAATACTTTGCAGTTATAGTTATCAACTAACATTACAAAGTTGTCCTTAAAATATTTTTATTAGTTTAGTGTTATTATACAGATACATTAGTACGGTGAAAAAGTAGAGTAGCTTCCATGAATAATTTGGTTGAACATTTGTTCAATCAAGAAAAAGAAAGACAGCAAGTTTTGAAAAGTTAAGAAAACAATTTACTTTGATGGCTCGATTTGTTTGTCAAGAACCAGCATGCAGATATAGATATTTCAACAGGAGTTTAAATAGGTAGAAAAACATTGAATTGTTTAATCAAAGATGATGAGCCTAACCTATAAAACTTACGAGCTTTTCAGTTGAATTTGCATTTAACACAGCCACTCATCTACATTTTTAAGATTACAGAATAAAAGAATAGCCGTTGTTATTATCAAGGCATTATTTGAAGGTATAGATAACATTTTGCGAAAAGACTATTGATTGCCTATGCATTGGCTACTTGTAAACAGAATCAGACTAAATTATACATAGGCGCATGGCATGAACAGTGCAGTGTGCACCCAGTGCGACTCTCATATATTTACACACATAAACACACGACGATGATTCAAACTGTTAAACTGATTGCTGTTTGGAACTCGATTTAAAGTCTGATGAATGAACTTATAAGTTGTAGTTAGTTTTTCTCAACTCCTTGCTCTTAGTTGCTTATCGTAGTTTTGCGATATTGTGCATAACGGCATTTGAATATTTGCAGCATGTCTTCCCGTACGCGTTTTGTTCTACTTGCCCAGCACGAAGGCTGAATATGAAATTTTTTATTCTTTTTCATATTTGAAATCATTGCAGCTAATATGATTGCTCGGAGATGAGGTTGCACGTGAAATCTATGCTCTGATAGCAATGGCTACGTATATATGTGAAAGTCGAGCCATGGAATACTCTATAAAAAGTATACTAAGTTATATTGATTGAGCTGTGGAAGCTTAGGGAGAAATGTTAGTAAGTGATCCGCGCGATTAAACGAAATCGAGGGCAAAGCGAAACTAGGAAATGGAGGAGATTGAGAAAAAAAGAAACAGAGGAGCGAGAAAGAAAAGTAGAAAAAGTGAGCGATTGAGAGTGGAGTATATAGAGTCGAGGGATAGGTAGATGTATAGACGCGAAGTAAATAATCTAATGAATCAAGCAGAGAGCGAGAGAGAGAGAGAGAGAGAGAGCAGCTGGTGTGTAAGATAAAAAGACGAGCTAACGGAAGCTTAGTGAGAGCAATCGGTTAGAGCGCGGACGTTTCCATTTCCGACACTTATCGCGAGCTCGCGGTGGCAGCTGCAGCGAGACCACGGCCACCGAAAGAGTACGCGCGCCTCCTCGATAACCGATCGCCCATCGGACTTTGTCATTCGCCTCGACAATCAAGCTCCGTTAGCGAGCAAACTGCCTGCGCACGGCCAGCACCCACTTTTCTATCAATCTCTCTCTCTCATCTCCGACGCGTGCGTAACACATTCGTCGCTCGCGATCTTGTCCCGCCTCGCGCACTCGCTCCCCTCGATCGCGAGCATTATCATTATCTTATGCATGGGAATTAATAAAACATGACGCGCGCGTCGACGAGACTCTGTTGCAAAGCGCCACGCAAGCTGCGCTCGAGGCCGCGTACGCTCTGCTCGGCGAATTTCCCCTTGTCCGCAGCTCCCGTAAGATCGAGCAAGCTTCTACGGCGACGCGCGAAATATCTCGCCGACGGACAGTAGAATGTGGCTATCGATTTTCCCAAGTTAAGGCGTGCAGCGTGCCAGGGGGCAGAGGAAGCCACCTGCGTCGTATGCAGCCAATAGATTCAGCATCAAATGGCTTTGAAGAAACTTAGCGCGCGTTTACTGGATTACGCCAGACTCGTTAATTATAGCACACTCATGCGCGCATCAAATAATTACTCCGATAAATTGCGCCTTTCACTTCACATTATACCCCGCCGATTCCGAGAGCGTTCGTCTCGTGCTCGGCCTCAATCCAAAATCAACGGCATGCCAATTTCATCTGCCTTCAAATTATACCGGACTTGGCGTCGTCACTTTCGATACGCGTGCGCTCCTTTGGTTTTTACATTGCTTTCGCAATCGATCGCTCGGCACGCTCAAGTGAGACTTGTAAAAGGCTGCTTGGCGCTTTCATCACTCGATTTGCAGCCGATACCGAACGATTTTTTTTCATCAAAAATACATCTACATCAAAGGTTTCACACGGTCGCGCATTCGTTTCCAACAAAATGTTTATGTGCATAAAGTGCTCCAGTTTTGCACGAATAATGGGTTTTTTATGAAGGTACGAAATGCCGTTGGCTTTAAAGCTTATGCAAAGCTTCAAAATGAGCTACGTGGGCGATTATTTTCGAGTGATCGCGCTTTAAGCCAACCTTCCTTTTTCGGTCATGCAAAGACAGACACAATCAACTCAATAATGTGGAGTTTTTTGCGTATCCGAATCACGCGGTCATCGTATAAGGTACGCCATGAATATTTCTGACGTTTCTAATACTGTATTCCGCGCCAGTGTCAGGTAGTTGGGTATTAATGTTGATTTTGAAAAAAAAACGAAATCGGTACTTTAACTTTGATAAGTTTGAGTGTGCAATGAAATGCAACATTGGAATGTATAAAAACATTATTGCAACGCTTATCCATAATTGATTATTGATTTTCGGTGTCTACTCGAGCGACAAAAGTAACGGGGACAGCATTTGCCTTTTATACGCGCTGGAAAATATCGGAGGATGGCTTTTGATGGAATAGAAGAGGGCAGATCGAGTGGTGTATTGCCACCGATAATGTTTCTAGAAATGCTTGGATGGCTGAAATGACGTATTACGTCAGGCAGAGGGAAATTGGGAAAGTTGGAAGATTGGCTTTCTGGACGTTATGCCAGCGGACGGCGCTTTGCGGACAGCTCTTATCCATAAGCTTGGTCATGAGTTTTTATTGCACGGCCTATTATTCAAACTCGCGCGGTTGCGAATAGAAGAATGAGCCGACGATCTGGCTGGCGTAAGCGCGCAAAAATCGAACGGCGCTGTGGGTAGACTTTGACGCGTGTTTCTGCTTCATACGCTTTCCCGATAAAAGTACGCGACGTCAGCTCGGTCTCGCTCGGGCGTAGAAAATAACCAGCCATCGTTCGCTGCTCAGAGAACGACGAACCGCGCGCCGACGACTATCGTCGATGGAAATGGTAGGCGGAAAAAGGCTGGAGAGGAGCCAGAGCAGGCGCCGCCGATAGATTTAGAGTGGGATCGCGGACGCGAGCTTCAATAAGGGCAGGTCACACGAAGAGGCAGCCCGAGAGATCTCGGCGGTGCGCAGCTTCTGGCAAGGCGAATTATTAATGGTCTCGCGGGTCGCGGCGGCCCCTTACGTAAGCCCCGCGAGTCGTCGCGCGCGGCGACAAAGACGCCAGGCTCCGCCCGGATTAATCCGCGGACTGTGTACGCCGGCGTGGAACAATGCCCGCGATAAATTGCAGTTTTGATTGGCTCGGCCGCGGCGCCAGCGCCAGGGACTCGCTCGGCCGCGAGCGCGAGCGAAAAAGAGCGCCGTTGGCCGATCGATAGCCGTTCGGCAGCTTCGTCTCGGCAGCGCTGCACCGCGCGGTTTCGTTCGATTAGGCCCGCGCTGCTCGTCGCGAGGATCGCCCTCGCTCGAGCTACTTTCCTTAATTAAAACCGAGCGTCCATTATTCAGCAGCCCAAAGCTCTCCGCGTACGCACCGCCGCGCTCTACCTCGGTCGTGCAACGCGCCGTCCCCCTCTCGCTCGCTCTCTCGAGCACGTACTTCTCGGATGCAAGACATCGATCGCGACAAACAAGCGTGGATGGAACGTGTTGCAGGCGAGGAGACCTGCCAATGGCAGCCGAGAGCGCGACCCGCGCGACCCGCGGAACCAGCGTAATTTCGTCCTCGTTGCCCTGATATTTTGGTCAATATCGCGCGAGCGAGAGAGAGAAAGAGGGAGTAGGACGCACCAAGCGCACGCGCTCGAAAGCAGCCCTCGGGCGAGAGCAGCCAGCAGCCAGCAGCCAGCAGCTTCGCTTGTCGTTGCTTCCGCCGCAGCACGCGCACACGAGCCTCTCCAGCTTTTGTCCAACTATGAATTGCCGCGGGGACCTAATATTCCGTTAAGCCTGGCGTGCAACGGCCTCGTCGTCGTTGCTTTTTAATTTTAAAGTTGTCGAAGCGTTTGACGAGAAGGCGATATTCGCGTACCGTTAGGACGGATACTCTCGCTCGGAAAGAAACAATCGTAAAATTGCTTTCTCGTGTGCGTCGCTCGAGAGCGATAAAAGCAGTTTATGGCGCGCTTTGCCCGATAAGCAATATAGCTTTTCAATCATACCGACGACGCCACTCGCCTCCCGTACGTCGCCGTGGGTCCGGGCGTTCGTCTCGAGAGCCGGGATAGATCAATTGGGCCGTTCCCAGCGCGCGAGGCAGCCCAACGAAGGAGCGGGTGGGCGCCGGGCGCGAGAGCAAGCCGCACGCGCGAAAGTGATTATTTGTCTTGGCGCCTCTTCTTTGTTCCCGAGTGCGCGGCCTCGTTTTTCACGACGATACACGGAGGAGGAAAAAGTACGCCGGGAGAGAGTCGTTCCACGGCCAGGTGAGTATCGACGCGCGACCAGAGCAACGATAGAGCCGACGGCAAGCGCGCGTGTTTACGGAGAGAGGCTGACAGGCAGATGGGCTGAATCGAGAACGCGTTTAGGGCGCTGCCTGTCAGTTTTCTAGGTCAGCCGCCGCTTTTGTCTTGCGAATTCGCTCGCCCGGATCATCCAGACTCGGATATGACTGTTTCGCCCGTATTTGCTCGACCCGTCTCCCCTGCACCCAGCGCCTCGGCCAGCTTCGCCTTCTTTTCTCGCCGATATTCGCAGTTTGCTCGACACGCCCGCCCGAGCTCTG